ACAAATCTCGGGATCTCTTGAAGCTCATCATCCAGAAAACCGATAAGCCTTATGCAGAATGCAGCCAGCAGCAATCGGTGCGCAGAAAATATGCACCAGATACTCATTCACAACAAATGGTCCGCTTGGACTATAAAAGTGCGAACCAACTGCGCAAACAGTCTCCAACGTGAGATAGTCGCATGTGCATAGGGTTGGTCCCGAAATGGCTGGATGACCTCAAGGTCAAATAGATGAATTGGTGCGGACAAACAAACGCCAGTTCACACGCCTGCATTAAACCCAAAAATGGAGCGGGGTTTACAAGCAGGGACAGAATAAACAAGAGGAATTTCAAACAGCACAATAGTCGATGATACAAAGTCACGGAAGGAACGAGTTATTAGCTACCCAGGAGAAAGCATTTTCGCTTAGCCTCATCTATAGCACCGGACAAGGTCATGAGGCATTGATACCCAACTTTAAGATGATGCGGACCCACGGAAGGAATTTATAACTGTGAAGTTGAGAGCCGCGGATAGCCAATAAAAAAAGGAAGTCTACATCTCAATCGGTTTCACTGAGGCGGGCACTCAGGTGCTACTTCCCTCGATAGACAAGAAGGGATAAAGCCTGGGACATGAAATGTCTGTAGTAATGTAAAGTGCAAGCGTATCTCAGTGTGTTAATTTTCCGCAGCACTATCAGAAAAAACGTGCATTGTATTCAAATACCACTTCAATAGTCACGTAGTGGACAAAGTCCAAGTATGCTTCTTTTATGAATAAAATGGGTAGAACGAATATCAAATGCCAGAAGTGATTTGCAAACGCTGTTCGCCCAGGGGTGGAAACTCACGTATACCACACCGAATGGCAAAGATGCTGGAGCTTTACTCAGGGTCACTTTACAACCGGTTGCTTATACAAAGTAGTGGAAGCGGTCTTGATCACACTGGTGATTGAAGAAAACCCGTAAACCAGACACTTGTCACGTATCAGCGTCACTGAAGTTGATGGAAACATATCCCAAAATACGGCAGTATTGATTGTGACGTCCAGAAACCAGAGTTTTACACGGCCGGCTGAGCGTCATCAATTAACCTCTCAATCGATAACATTGCCGAAACTTTGGGTGATTGTACTAGTCCTGTTTTGTGGATTTCTTTCAATCACAGACCAAGTTGAGGTTTTCCTCGAATTTTAGACGGCGTGGACGGTGAGGGTGACTTCTTTTGGTACGGGCCCTTATACCCTAGAGGATCCGGATCGCGTATCCTTTGGTGAGAATCCGCAAACTCGTCTCAGCCTATCCTGTGGTACAGGAATTAGGGAGCCTGAGTTGTGTTCTATTCAGTCCGACAGCTTATTATATCAGGGGAATGCTGCATCCGATGCTAAACTAGGTGATCGTCGGCGAACTCGAGGAACAGCGGTGAAACTTGGGTAACATTAGGAGATGGTGAATTCGTACTTGTTCACCTTTGTTTTAGGTTAATTCACACCGTCTTCGTTAGAAGATGAGCTCCTACCGGAAATGCGTGCTTTCAAATTAGCAGCCGTAGTTAGTTAAACGCTTATAGTCGGTTTTCGTTAAAGTGGCCGTACGTCTCTGTACTCTTGATGATTGTCTTGAGCCGTAAAAAATCTTTGGCAAGCACTAAGACGCATGTACGTGTATCTCAACTTCTTCAGTCCATCAAAGACACGTCATAGCTTCTGAAAATTCAACTCCATTGTGCGAATACTGAGCTCTAGCTTGATGAGTATGGGTTACAGCACCGGGCCTTTCAGAGGACCTTGGAGCTGAACGTTGCGTCAACGACCAGTAAAGAATCACATGGTCGTACTACTGTCGTTGGTTGTTCTCAGATTTTAAAACAAATCATCAGCTAAAACGAGTGTACTATTAAACATGATTCATTTCTTTTAGGATACACTTCTCAGTAGCAATATTCGTCAGATAAAATTTCGGATCCCAGGATTGCCGGCAGCAACAGTTTTTATGGAGTAATTCTCATCCTGCATTTGAGGATAGTCAGTGCCTGAAATTCCAGAAAGGCTACAATCTTGGTGTTCCTAATGAGTTTTATCCGCGTTGCCCATCGAACGAAACTCAGTGTTTCGAATTACATGTATCGTGATTTCTGGAATATCGTACCAACTGAAACATTAGGCGGCCTGATGCAGCACATTCAGTTGGCTGGATACATCGTAAACGAGCGATTCAGCTACGTTCCATGTGAGTCTATCGCAAAACTAAATTAGTTTGCAAATGAGTGTAGTTCACCAATTTCGTGCAATTTGGTTTCAAGCAGTCCATAAGGTTGACGGAAAGTCGGGGACTGCGTCCACCTGATGAGCCGCAAGAAGAGCGAAACCAGTCAGGGGCTTTCGACGAATTTTCAGCAGTCTTGTGAGTAGTGCATTACAGTATCTCCAATATCGTGGCAACCGAAACATGAAGCGGCCTGGTGCAGCACATTCAGTTGCCTGGAAACATCATAAACGAAAGATTCAGCGGGGTTCCAGGTGAGCGTATTTCGCGATACTCATCTGTTACTTTTGGCTGTAGTCACCAATGTGGAGTGAATGCATTTCGTGGAACACTTTGATCAAAGCCGTCAAAAATCGATTGACTCCAAGTATCCTCACTACGTGCCGGATTAACTCATACACATTTTTCGTTCGGGTCAATAGTATTTCATGTATCGCCGAGAATGAAGTCCACGCCAGAACGCGTGCTGTTTTTATGCGCTTACGCTTGAAACGTTCAAAATGATAAAATCCAGAGTGCGTTTATACCGCTTTTGACTAGCCAGGTGCAAATCGCGAACGATATGAAAGTCCACTGGCAGCCAGTATAAATAACGCAAAATGCCATTGATTTGTGGAAGCTCTAGTGACCATGCTGAAGTTAATCGTATCATACACTCTCCTACTTTGTGTCTACAGCTTTCATGTCACACAATGCGAGGAACTGGACTATCTAGGAGCGCCAGAAAATGTACATCCGACTGTAAGTCAGTGATCTGTTCAGATTAAGTCGACTAGCTTATGTTTTTGTGCAAAATCGATGGGAATTTTATCATATATGAGTATGTCATTCAAGTGATCCAAGAAAAATATTTTCTTTCTATGACGCACGAGTGAGGTAAATAGTTTTCGTTCGCTTTTGGACATTGGAAAGTCGGTCTCCAAACGGATAGTTTGTAGTGCTTTCTCCATAAAACAGGCATCCAAACAGTATGCAACCGAAGGTACCGCGGACCCGAATCGTCCTAGCTGAAGAATGTTTTGACTCTGTAGAGGAATCCTAATGTGACGAATAGGATAAAAGGGAGAACAAATGATAATTAGACGGGCAAATAATCATCGAAAGAGCGAATATTTGCTAGTCNCGGCTACTTCTAGGTTGTTCAGCTTTGTGGAACTGTTTACTGCTAACCTGGACAGTGCGGGTTCGAAACTTTCTGCGACTTCGTTAGAAGTCCACTGATGATGATTCTCAGTAGGAATACAACAGCGTTACATTGTTTTCAACGTGGACTGGCTTCCCTTCCAGGACAAACTCTGAGCTGAAATTATGAAAGAGAGTCTAGATTCCACAGAACGGTAATGATGGACAATGGCTGGGCCCACGGCTTGTTCGTTCCCTCGTCTCTTATGTGTGAGCTCACGATCAAACTGCCTCTCGCAACAATATACAGGACGCATTTCTGGCTGCTTCCAGGCGACATCCCCTCTTTTCACTAGCCAACAAGCGCATCTGAACTACCAGGCACATTTTGAACATTTCGTCCACGAGACAACCACTGACCATGAAAGGGTCAATCACACAGAAGCCAGGCTATGCAAAGTCAGTGAAACGGGTCTTCTGACAGAGGGTTCACAATAAAATACGCCTTCAAAATAATCTCTAGTTTGCTCCAAGCGTTCATCCTTTCCAAGCAAATCTACGAGGGTAACTGAAGGTGGTCTCTCCTAATGGCACCACCTCAAAGCGCACAGCTGTTTTCAACTTATCTATGTCTGTGTTCATGGACTAGTCAGCATAACCCAAAACTAATGACACTATCTAACACACGCGGGTTTCGTTCACAAAACAAAACAGATTGTTTTCGAGAAATACACTCATTTGCAAATCAATTTGGTTTTCACAAGAGACTCAACTGAATCTCCCGTTTATGATATTTGTGAAAACCAAATTGATTTGCAAATGAGTGTATTTCTCGAAAACAATCTGTTTTGTTTTGTGAACGAAACCCGCGTGTGTTAGATAGTGTCATTAGTTTTGGGTTAACCCAAATGGGCAAAACCGGTCGTGGGCTGTCGAAGAGTTTTCAGCAACCTTGTGGGTAGTTTCCTTTATTGAAACAGATTGTTCTCTTCATTCGTCATTGCTGGGGAACTTTTGAATCTCCTGGAACTGACTTCACAACTTGTAGTTCTTAATGCCTTCACCTACCCATTTTTGGAAACGACCAATGTATGAACTGTTTCACTGTTCAGTGCATTATATACTTAAAGCCAAAGTCACAAACGAATAAGCTTGAAAGAACAATCACATACAAATACGCATGTCAAGTTTGTGAAAGGGATATAAAATGAACAACCCTGTGAATTCACATTCAATCTGAACCGGAAAACCCGATTGACCTTGACAATGCCACTAAAACAATGAAACGAAACGACAGGCAGATGCATACAAACACAAGGCAGAATGCTGCGCCTGAGACACATGTATTGTTAGCCGGCATTTATGCCGGCTGAAGATGACGCTCGCCGGAGTTTTCAGGTTGCTCCATGTGCCTACCCGCTTGTTTGCCGGGTTATGTAGCTTGTGCTTCGCATTTGTGTGCTCTGGTTGTGCACGCCGGCTGGATACGTGTCTACCCGGAAACGGTAAACATTGGAACGATTCCAACTATGCGCAAAATGAAACTGACCCGAATCCAGAGAAGTGATCGATTTTATAGACCTCCCTTGGAGCTCAGAGAGAGAGTTTCGATGCCTGTAACTTAGTTGTGCTTTGGTTGCCATAACGACAGGCATCCTCATTGAATAGCTTCACTGATCTGAAAGAGACGGTGTTAGATGGCTCCAATTATCTATCACTCTAAACAACAGAGTCATTGTCGACCGTAAGGAGACTCTACCAATGAGATTTGCGGACGCGGTCATGCCCCAGGAAAGACAGCGGTGAATTCTGGTTTTGGTTGTTTCTCTGAGGGCTATAGTTTAGAACTTCACATATCTCTTACCATCTTCCATTTCAGTCACGACTTTTTGCCCCAATCGCTTTTTGAATGTTTTGGTGATATCCGATGGCCCCTAAACTCGGGTTTTGGAAGCTCTCTATCTGGCTTTGACTTGGAGACTTTGCTTCAGTCCCAAATTTTCCGATGTGAATAAAGCGAAATCTGAAGTAACCATTTTGAAATCGCCAGTCGTCGTAAATCCGTCTTGGATACGGCAAACTTGATCCAACCCCTCCCAAAGGGGACTGCTGAGTAAAAGGTGGGCCTTGTGTGGCAAAATGTTGGCGTGCACACCTGCGTGCACCGCTGCGATGCGCAGCGACATACTGATGATTTTATCTCAGTTTGCGAATAGAATGTGCAAGTAGAATATGTGATTACGCGGTCAGAGCAACAGCAATCGACGATGCAGTGCCAGCCTTCTGTCTGATGAGGATATTCCAAGAATGGGCAAGTTGCCCTACCGAGCAAATTTTTCACATTTATTTCGCTACTCATGAAAGATCAAGTAGGTGGAAAGGGAAAGTGACACGAAGTTCGAAGGCGCACCCGACTTCTTTGGCAATGTACTCACGTTGAAAGTGTCTTGCGAAATTAGATATGAAATGCCACGTCTGTGAGGCTTAATGTGCCAGGAGTCTGTCTTCGTTCAGATGTTTCTAGCAAAACCCTTGTCAAGTCGAGGATAGCTTTGTGCATTCCAATAGCTGAATTTCGCGACAGTGAAAATAGGCAGTTCCTTAAACCCCACTCTAATTCTAGCCGTGAAACTGTGTTTGTTCCAAAAAAAGAGTCAAGGAATACGACGGGGCAGCAATAAATTTACTAGCGAGGAACACGTACATATCGTCATATACACAAGCTGATGAAATTCAGCAAGACAAAGATCTGTTGTTTGCTTTGGTAGACGGAAACCGGTGGAAATTAGATCCGCAAACAGCAGTTACAGATCTATGGTACTCTGCACGCATCCGGTCACTCTTAGACCCCGATAAAATCCGTCTGAAACCGAGCATTTTGACCCTTTTTGAGCAGTTGGGGCTCCATTTCCCCAAAAAATGTGTTATACAGTTCCAATTCATGTATTTCACGGATTAGTTTCTATTTCATCCATAATTCTCCCAAGCACCTCAAAGGAGACTTTCCAGGGCCCCAAAATTTAGAACGAAATTATTTGCTGAGCGATTCGCACAATATGCCTGACTCCAAACAAAACTCGCTAGTGGGCAACATCCGAGTAGGCCTCCTTTTGGAGGGGAGAAGATCCGCATTAGCGGCACACTTCCGATCGACAAGTAATGTTATAAGTACAATAAATGTTAATAAAAATACGACGAAACTTTAAGCAAAGACAAAAAGTATTGTGACGTCCTGTTCTCACTCCTTTTTGTAGAAAGTCATTGCTTGCAAGCATCGTCACTTTTCTACAGAGCAAAACACCTCCCTCAAAGTGATCATCAGACACAGACGGGTATTTAATCCGGACTTTCCAGGAATTGGAAAGTATCTATAGGCATATGCGTGCATTTTACGCAAAATCTAAGGGATTTTCATCTCATGTCAGTACGTATTACATCCTTTCTAGCAATCAGAGACCGCCTGTAATTTTCAGGCCTCATTCTCAGTAGTAATTTCGAGTTGTTCTTTCAAATTTTGTTCCAGCAATAGAAAATACTCAACAAGGCAGTAGAACTGGAACCAAACGGGTCCTAGCCAGTCCTTTAAAGTGGTCTTGCAAGAGGGAACAACCTTATGATTACATTCAACAGTAGAGTAAACCTTTCTCTGTGGACCACCTGCGTGGACCCATCGAAACCGATCTCTAAAGGTAACGAGCACCTTCTGAGAGGGGAGATTAACCATTGGAAGAGCCAGAAAGGGTTCAGCATCAGGTGTTCGCGTATTAGGTTTGGACGGTGCAAAGTCTCTTGAAAATCGTCTAGTAGGACTTCAATACTTGAGCAGAACAATTCTTTCTCCACTTCATTATCCAGTTACCCAATCGGTGATCAAAATAAATTGAAACACTGTGCACGAATTCTGCATCCTAGTCTTTGCTATCGGGGCTTTCGCATCACGAGGGCATTTGAGGCGGATTTATGGGGAAGTCCCCTGAGATGCAGTACATTTGACGTGTCCGTACTTGGACAGTTGATCCCATGGAAGAGGGTTGCCATTGGAAGGAATAGTGCATTACCAACTGGTGATTTCATTCACATGGTCCATTAAATCCTCACATTACTCGCTAACCCCACCTCGAGTCTCGTAGAATTGCCTACAATCAATCACCCAGTCATTATCGTGTGACATTTGCTGGCTTTATTTATTTGGTTTAAGTAGCCTGAAGACTGCTATCAAGTAGTATCTTCCGAAAGGAGGCAGATGAACGCGAAAACCGAGCTTCCATAAAATAGTAAATATAACTTCCAAGTTTTACTGAACAACTGCGCTTGATGTAAATCGTGCTCTCCGTTGCTCACTTGGTCTTTATTATAACTCCAAAAGTTCAAGTCAGTAAGTTTTTTGTTAGCATTTTTTCAAAATTCATGGGGATAAAGTTAACTAAGTTAAGTTCCCGGCTAACATTCTCCAGTTCTGTTTGTCTTACACACTCTCGTTCAAAACAGGAACGAAATTTCATGTGAACTATGTCTATCTACAATTTCGATCTCCGCGGCCACACGCGATGGTGATTTACAAACGATTCGACGATCAGTCAGACTGGACTCCATGGGCGTACTTCTCCAGCAACTGTTACACCTACTTCGGGATACCCTACCAACCGGTACCGACCTTCAGCCGACCGGACGAGGTTATTTGCCAAGAAGAATATTCCACACTGCAACCATTGTACGGAGGGGAATTGGTCTTCTCCGTTATTAATGGCCGGCCAAACTACGAACGTTTCTTCGAAGACGCTGAACTGCAAGTAAATCTAGTCGAGCGGTGATATGCCTTTTAAAAATTAGCAGTGTTCACATCAGTTGGGCTTGATTTCAAGGTCTCCATGATAAGTAGATGTCAGGATAAGATTCCCTGGTGTAATTGCTTGATCCTGAGAATCACAGTAGACCTGCCCCTTACTCCATAGGAAATACCTCTCATCAGAACCTCCGAAGGGAAACCATCCAAACATGAGAGGATATTAGTGCACTGGTTATGATAGCCATAATACAAATTAGAGGGTGAATGTGCACTGATAGCAGTCTTTACTGTGGATGACAGTAGTTTACAGAAACGATTTGCAGCATCTATGAAATAAGGGGCAATATCAAATGTGGAGCACGTCAACAGGGAACTTATGTGAGAGTCCCTTGGTCAAAGTCCGGACGGCGGGAACGTGTTTTCTCCGCAGTGCGACTGCTACACGTACTCCATGATTGTCCGTGGACTTGGAGTGCTTGGGCTGACTCCTTGTTCCCTGCGCGTGCGCGAGACTGTGTGCTGACTGTGTTCGGTTTCCCTATAAGTAGCTCTGTTTGCTAGTACGTGGGTGTGACAGCACATGAGTGGTTGCTACGCTCACTTTACGGTACAGACAATCGATGTCCAATGAGTCACCTTATGTGACGTGGTTTGTGGGCATGAAAAAGAGACAAGTCTCGTGATCCAGTGAGCGACTGTGGGCTGACCAATCAAGCATGTGAGTGACTGAGTTGCTACAAGGACAAAATACCTCTCTCCATCTTAGTTGTTTCTTTCGAAGGGTCGGTGTATTCGGTTTCTAGGGCAGTTAACATCTATCCCCGTTTTCGTTATGTTCCTCCCTTCAGCGCTGGAGTACAGCGAGTCAGATAAGAGTAGAACTGAAAAAAATGCACACATTTGGCGACGAACGTGGGGCGGAAAAGGACACCTTGCTTACGTACTATTTCGCTATTGACAAGTTCACTGTCGGTGGCAGGTAGGTTTGAAGTTTGAAGTTTATGAAAAAGACATTCAATTACTACTTTTTTTGTTTTCTTATTAGTTCCGCTAATCGGCTGATGAAACTGTCATGTATAAAGTGAATTATGTTGACCATTACGCAACAACTGTGCTACTCACCGGCAGGCATTCCCTGAAAAAAATCCGAAACGGCTCGGTGGTTAGAGCGCGAAGTTACTGACTGGAAGGTGTGTGGTTCGAACCCAATCTCTGCCTCTCGACTTCCCCTGTCTAGGCTTGGGCAACCTGGCAGTAGCCAAGCCCTCGTGCTTCCTTCGGATGGCATGGCAGCTAGGCGCCAGAAGGGTGCTACAGCTGGATGAATGATGATTAATTTCAGGCTAAAATGGACTCACTTTCTAAGCAGACGAAGTATGATCCAAAATATGAAAATGTCTTCCGAATTTAGGTTTCCAAGTAGGCGTCTGTAAGCAGGAGAGTGCTTCCTAGTTGGACAATGTACGCTGTACACTGAGGAACCAGATGGCCACAAATGAAGTCTCTCCAACCACTTAGTCTGTTCTACTAAACCACGTAGCCTATATTTTCACAATCTGATCTGGTCACGTATCGTAATCAGCCATGGATCTGTACGGTGGATATGCTCGTGGAGCGGCCACCATTTCGGTCTTTATATCCACTAACATCGGCTGTCGAAGATTCTGTTCTATGGGACAAAATGGTTCACCATGCACCGGCTGAAAAACGAAGATCATTTTAGGTGGACCCTACGTACTCATGTCCATCCTGAATGCTTCAGTGACATTCATTCATGTTACTGGGTTTCATGAAGGAGTCGGTACTAATGAATACAAAAAGGCTCGTTAGGTTGTTTGTATTTCAAAGGTGGTCGGTTAGCCGAACAAATTATGCGTTCTATTAAAAGAGAATACTCACAAAGTTGCTGAAAACTCTTCGACAGCCCACAACCGGTTTTGCCCTTCTTGGGGCCCATCTGGTAGGTGCAGTCGCCGAATACCGTGCAAACTGAAACATGAGGCGGCTTTTGTGCAGCGTACTCAGTTGAAGAATATCATGAACGAGAAATCCAGTTGTCTCCTGTGAACACTAAATTGATTTGCAAATGAGTGTATTTGTCGAGATTAGTTCAATTTGGGCTCAAGTAGAACATATGGTTGACGGAAACTCGGCGACTGCGCCTACCTGATGAGCCCCGAGAAGGGGGGAACCAATCGTGGGCTGTTGAAGTGTTTTCAGAAACCTTATGAGTAGTGTATTATGGATGTACATGTATCGCGAGGTCTCAAATATCGTGCAGTCTGAAACATGAGGCGGCCTTAGTGTAGCGCATTCAGTTGAAGAATATCATAAACAAGGGATTTAGTTGAGTTTCCTGTGAAAACCAAATTGATTTTCAAATGAGTGCATATGCCGAATTTTGAGTTTTTTTTCCTGGACGCAGTGGAGCTGGAGTTCTTTTTGTTCTTTTTGAGTTCACATGATACCTGTTGGGCCTCATTCAGCTTCAGAGGTAATTGCGGTAACGGCGTTCAAAACAGAATGTGTGGCAACCTGCACATTTGACAGAGGTCGAGCCATGACCATTCAGCGTCCATTGCCAAGTCCCTCGAATATTGATCACAGAACGTGCCTCCTTGAAACAACAGTGGCCTCAACTTGTCGTGTACACAGAAAGGATCTTCTACTTTTTGCTTTTTCGAAGTTTAAAACACCACAGTGTCTTGAGAAGAGATACGAAGAATTCCTCAGAAGAGTGTATACAGGTCAGAAGCCTTCGCGTGATAACGTGTGGACATGCAGTTTCCTAGGGAACTTTATGAATTGTAACCATCACCAGCACTACTGGCGATGACTTCTCCGAATGCATAATCTTTATTGATGCTCTTTTCATCATAATTTCTTATCCTAATTTGAATGCACCTGCCCATCTGTTCGTTCCAGATGTCTGTGCAACGGCCATGGGAACGAATGTCGTCCGAGCACAGGACCAGGACAACCCGATCGCCTTGTTTGCGTGTGCGCGCCGAGTCACCACACGGCGGGCGATAATTGCGAACAGTGTGCACCGGACCATCGAGATGTGCCATGGCAACCAGCGACACCAGAAAACCCGAATCCTTGTCGCCGTAAGCTGATAAACTGCGCCTTGTGCATGCAGTCTGTTTCAAATCTTGTAAATACCAACATCAGTTTGTTTTATGCCCTCTTCCGCAGGAAAACTCATCTTGAAAACAATCAACAGTCTGGATTTTTTTCAATTACTCGACTTCTTTTTCAGTTAGTATGCAAACGTCAACACAAAAAAACGAGCGAGCATTCGCAGTGGAGAATAGTCGGCCAATGAAATGGCAACTGCCGTGAACCAATGAAATCGTTTGCTCAACCGATCGATCAGTCGCTCAGTCTACCAGAATAAGTCCCTTAAACTCGACTTGTTTCTTTAGGAGCAGGATTGTGAGGGCTACTCACCAACTTCTGTATACTCAATCACTGTTGTTTTTGTTCTGTGCAGCCTGCAAGTGCAACGGAAACTCCCAACTCTGCGAATTTGATTCGGATCTCTATGACCAGACCGGATCCGGCAGTCGGTGCATCGGTTGTGGTAACAACACCGAGGGTATCAACTGTGAACGGTGCAAGACCGGGTACTTCCCTGATCCAGCCTATCCAACCGTATGTCAACCATGTTCATGTGATCCCGTCGGGACTGTTGACAGTCAGGAAGATTGTGCGACCACCGGACAGTGCAGATGCAAACCAGGGGTTGGTGGTCCGCGTTGCGATCGATGTCTGGAAGATCACTATGGTTTTAGTGCTGGAGGATGCTTGTAAGTCACTTCTATGCGCCTGGGTTGTTTTCTGATGAAGTAAAGCTCACCACTAACAGCCTCATTCATGAAAATTTCTTAATCCCACAAGTACCATCAGCTGATTGCTGAGTGGATATCTACCAGTGAAAGGAAGAGGGCTTTCGCTGCGGAGTTCCTTATTAAAAAACGCCAAATGAGCGGCCACAGACCATTGGACAGAGAAGCAGAACTCTCATATGCATCTTATTCACATAAACTGAACATCCACTCTCCCTTGAACGCGTCTTCCTGAACTTTACCGGATATTCATTGACTGTTGCTCAAGCGCAAGCAAATGCTACTCCGCAAATTCCGTAATGCATCTCACTTTTCGAGAGACGCGAACCAGGTTTACGAGAAGACATACTACTCGCATGCCCCCATCAGTGGTATCCACCGTTACACTGGTAACCGGTGTGTTAAGTTTGATTTTCGTCACCTGTACAGCTTGTGTACGATATCCTACGATTTGGCTATTGCATGACAATGCAGTCCTGTTTTACAAATTGTGTCTAACTTACACAAACGAATGACACATTCAATATTATCATCGCTCTCATTGATGTTGTGAACCTTTGAGGAGTTTTGAACTTTAACCTGCAATTTGAGCTTGCTACCTGTAGGTACTATTCCAGTGCATATCTTAGCAAGTGAACATGTTGGCAAGAGACGCGGATGGGGCTCTCGAAGACCAACATTTTTTTGCTAATCACTGCATGAGATAGAACCGTTATATGCGAATATGAACCACAATGTTATACTGAGAACCGTGGAAGCCTTTGGGAGTTGAGTACTTACTGAGTTGTTATGCCCAACTTCGGAATCGCGTTCTAACTTCACTGCCCTGGATTCTGTACTGTATCGTTTCGTATTGAACTACATTTCAACGGATGGTGCTTCCCAGGCATCACATGCCAGGCTAGGCCGATCCAAACCAGCTACAATCAAGGAGAGCTCACCTATGCTGCATCAACGGTGATTATAACAATCGCTTCAGCTGACAATCGGCCAATAAATCTGGCTCCCGTAGGACCGGGGAGGATTATCAACGTTTTCTTCTGACTCTCCTCCTTCTCAATTTTGTCTGCTAACCACTAAAGTCCTCCAAATAACTTTTTGATACATATTCCACCATACCCTACCTCATCACAGGGTAGCATCTTCCTAAAAAGACAGCATAATCAGCACATCCTCTATTACCTTCCGGAAAAATGCAACCAAAGAAACAATGACACGCATCATTCCTGCTGATTTATGTCGGAAAAAGAGGACATCACGTTCAAAATGGATGATGTCACCGGTTCGGGTTGGTGACTTCGATGAAATGAGAAATGTTGAGAAACTATTGCCTTGGGCTGGACTTGGTTTGCTGGTTAACTGGGCTTGGGATGCACGCGCAAAATTTTTGTTGGAAACTAGTCCGCGTGGATGGGGGCAATTGATTTGGGACATGGGATGAAGCAACGTCGAATAACTTAGTAGCCATCAAGTTGTCAACATTCATAATTTGCAAATAAACGTATTCGATAAATTTTTTTTCGTTCAATACAGCTACAAGGTTACAGAATACAAACTTCATATTCAAACTGACCAGGACCATTAGTTTTTCACTCATCTAATATATAAATAAATATAATAAATATCATTTTTGTCCTTTGGGTCATACTGACAGTCAGCCACCAAAATTACTCGTCCGTAATGGGGTAATGACAGATTGCCACTTTGTTCGTCTCATCTTGTACCGAGTTTCTCCTGCCTTGATACGAGGCACGTGAAAACAAAAAACCCTGGCTGAATGTTCCAGGCACGAATGAAATTCCGAATCCACCAATCGCGCGCTTTGCTGTCCCCGGAATGTTACTTCAAAGAGAGCAATAGGGTAATTTAGTGACTTCGAGACTATGCATCCAAGCCCAAAAGATTCCACATACTGCTAACATTCAAAACCTTACGTCTGCTCTAACGTAGAAGCGATATGTTCCAAATCCACCTTCCAGAGGACAATCGCTGATGATTTCGCTTATTCTTTCAAGGCCCTGCATGCCTTGGTTCCCATTGCAAAGCTTCATTGCTCAGTATAGGTTCGATTCCCGGCATCGAATCACGGATTGCAGCAATATACCACAATAGCCATCCGATACGCTAATTCTCTCACCGGAATACATTGGCTTTTGGGGACCCGTAAAGGACTTGTATTTGGCCTCACCAAGTGTTTGGGAAATTCTAATGGACTTCGAGGAAATATTTTCCTGTCTTTGTAAGAATAGCTACACTTCACCGAATGTTAGCTCCCTTCGTTGAACTTTTTTTTCATAACTTTGTGCGAAACGAATGCTTGTTTCAAACAGACGATCACACAACAAGTGCAAACTTTGTAAGAAACCAATCCGGCTTGCCATCGGCGCGTGTGCTAAACACTGAATACTGTGACTGTTTACCAGACTTGTGCGTGATGAAAACTGGTCGCCGGTCATTTGGTTACAGTAAGGTCTGCTTAGATCGATAAACCGTTCAGTCTGCCGTACATCAAACAAACCCTTCATATGTTTACTGACAACTCGACAATGTCATGGTACTTTCTCCCAACCTACCCGTTTCGTGTAATCTTGGTTCTTGAGTTCCATTCTCAGACTATCAGACTGTCATCTGTCAGACTCAGCAAACAAGGATGAGGCGGTAGATTCCATAGGGTTTATCAAGTCTCAGGCCTCCTAGAAAAAATGAGTTCTAAACAGATAATTCGCCAACCCCAGGGAGGCGAAAACCCTTGGCCAAATTATTTAGTAGAACCAAGATAGGTTTTATTTTCTTGATAATCTGTGGCCCCCGCTCTCCTTCAGGAGATGCGAAACAAGCAATCCAATAACTTATCTCAGCTTTTGCACGTAGAATGAACTTGTCTCGCAAGATGAAACCCATGGGGGAAACTTTAAAATGTTCTCACTTATTTGAAGCACCTATGGAGCACCTATGGACCGTTTTAGGCAGACATCGATGGATAGAGAATGCTCAATACGTTGATTTTTAACACAGCATGAAGATAATACATGCGTTTATCAAACTGTCATGGAAATTAGCACGTGTGCTGGGCAACAGCGTTTCTCATTCCAAATATGAGCGATGTGGGCGCATAGTTTTAGGGTTTACTTGGCAGAGATTTAATCCGATTACGGAGATCATCCTCCTAGGCGTATACAAAAGCACCATGAAAGGGCGGCTATCAGACAATGTTTTACTTTCTTGGCATTTGGTAATATTCACCAGAGCTTTCATCCTACGTGAGGGCTAATCACGTTGCTGATCAGCCACTCGTAGACGTGGACAAACGGTTAACTGTTCAATCACACTGGCCGGAAGGTCACGGGTTCGAAACCCTCTGCGCTTTGTGAGATGTGCACTGTTGATGATGAAACAGCTGCCCAGTAGTGCTTCTTGGTTTTTCAGCATAGATTAGCTTCACTGACAGGAGAAAGTCTACTGAACGTTTCGCTTCACTCATGGCCTACATTCTCGTGACTTTCAGGCACGACCTTGAAAACACCCCATGTGATCATCAATAGGGATTTCGAGTCACATGCTCGGGCATAGTTGGTCCCAAGTTCGTCATTTCCGTCTAGTCCTGTCTTGTTTTTAACTTCTTCAGCTCACACCGGTCGTATTTGCTTCAGCTTACTTGCTTTTGTTTGCAAAGCACAGCTGGAAGCAAATTCAGTCACTATTAATTGGATTGTTAGCCATTATGGAGGTGGGATCAACTTCGTACAATCTTTATTGGGCAAGTTCAGGAACATAAAGCGTTTACTCCTGGAAAGCAGATTTCGTCGTGTAATAACCCGCAGAACAGACTATGTTTGGTCACGCCTGGAAATTAAAAACAGAGCCCAAGTGCAGCTGACGTGGGCACGTCTTGGAAAGGGTTGCTGAATGCCCAGTTCTGAAACCGCTGCAAAGTCACTTGTCTGGTTCACTTTTGGATAGGGCCGGACAAATATTTGAGGAGCACGAGAGTTCCAGAGAACAGAGGAAAGCAGCTATAGGTCTGAACTACACCGCGATCTCAATTAAGTTCACGTGCAACTACAAAGCAAACTAGATTCCTACTGCCTTTTTGGTGGAAGCCAGCCACCTAACTACCTAGTGCGACAAAACGTGGGCGTGGAAATCGATTAGTTGTCCATTATTGCACCATGGGAACAAGATAGAGAACAAACATAACTTCCAAGGGCATTCGGCGATGCCGGAGGTTAGCATATCTGTCAGGCTTCACACTGTCGTTTCACGGACACTTGAATCACGGGTGCCGAATCTGTTACCTCCCGCGCCCAAACAGAGGGGGTACTTAAACTCTCTAGTAGTGTGACCTCTTGAGCACAATCGGAAGGACGCGTATGACCGTTCTGCGCCCACGTTCAGTGACTAGAATCCAGCAGTTGATTTTGATATTTTGGACGGCTTAGTTGGCAGAATCTGAATCTACTCAGAGCTAAAAGATGGCTTTTGTGTTCTTTGGGTCATAACTCGTTGAAATACAAATTGCGAAACATCTGAGAAAGGCACAGGGCTTCTTGCCCAAAATGACTACAGTTCATGACGAAATAATTGAGGCCAGCCCGTGAATGCTCACTTTGACTTACTCAAAACTGTTTATCCGTTTTTAACATGTAAACACAACTTTTTAGCGTTCTTTTTTAATCGATTTCCTTCGGAAAGTGAACAGGGTGATTTTCCCAGATCGATAAAAGGGAGGTAGAAGAATGCTGTGGATGAGGGAAATATTTCGAGATCCCTAACCTGGCGGGTATACTCAACTACCGCTGAGTTTGACAGACATGCATGGTTCATGACCTTTTGCACTCTGATATTGCTCCTCCAAGTACTCCCAGATCCTCATCACCAGTTTACCGTGCGCAGTTTTTATTTGACAACCAAAAGCCTTTGTTTACACGATACTACTAATGAAATCAGTGAAAATTCTCGAACGTTCACTGCCGGTTTCGTTCATCTAGGTACTCACCAGGTAGACCATTGATCTCAAGCCGTTCTTGAAAACCAATTATGCGTGCGTGGCTATGAATACTTAGTTGCAATTTAATTTGGTGTTAACCAAAAACGGTTCCCGTCCCAGTTCCGTTAGCGTTAACTTAATTTCTAGATGCATATTCATCGCAGCCTTTCATACAAGCTGGTTAGTAGGAGTGGCATAAGACTAATGGAAGCTCGCGGGCCGAGACTCTACCACATTCGCCGATCTTCTGAGTCTTGTTGAAACGCACTTGGATATCTTGAATCCCGTTTCAACTGAAACACCATTTACTGTATATTCAACCAAGAAATATCCTAAGCGAAGGGTTTAACTAAACTCCCGTTTTTTATTTGGTCTAAAAGACACTGGAAGCCAATCTCCCAGCTTCGAAGAGAATTAATCTTACCAGCCACCCTGTCGTTTGGTATTCGATCCGCATATCCGTAAGAAACGTTCTCCTATAGTTCCCTTCCGGTGACTAACTGCCGTGCTATCCGAAGGGAGCGTGAGGGCTAGGAGATACTACCAGTGATACTACTGATGGGAAGGCATGCGAGTAGTATGTGTTGCTCTTGGAATTACGCTTTGCGTCTCTTGAAACGGGGGATCTGTTATGGAATTTGTGGAATCGCTTTTTAACATTTGCTTGGAGTTGAGCAGTGAATGGTTGGAGTCAATGAATATCCAGGAAAGTTCAAGAAGACGCGTTCAGGAGAAGATAGATGTCCAGTTTTTGTAAATAAGATGCAAATGATAGTTTTGCTTCCCTGTCCAATAGTCTGTAACCGGTCAGTTGGCATTTTCTAGTAAATAACTCCGCAGCGAAGGCCTTCTTTCTTTCTAAGTACTTGATAAGTACACTGATAAAGGACAAGTTGGGACAGTTTGAATGGATTTCACATTCACCACCAATTACCATTGCTAAGTATCTGACATCTGCGCCGAGCTTCGATGAGAAGTAATCTTACCAGCCATAGTGTTACTTTGTACACGATCCGCATATCCGTAAAAAACGTTCTGCTATACTGCCCTTCCGGTAACTAGCTGCCTTACCATCCGAAGGGAACATGAGGGCTAGGGGCTACTGCCAGTTTGCCTAATACCAGATAGCAGCGGTCGAGATGCATGGATTGGATTCGAACCACGGACCTTCCTGTCAGTAAGTTCGCACCTGAACCACTGAGTTACGCCGAGTAAATCCGTATGAATTATCCAATATTCTCAGTGATTTCTTTGTTTTTCTAGTCTGTCTTCGTCATTGCCCCCTGTTAGAGACCTCCACCAAAAGATAAACAAAACATCAGGTTTCATCGGACATCTAAACTGATTCACCATTTTATGTCGACTACTCAAACCAATAAGTAATACTCAGAGCATCAGATCTCTTCCAACCATCCCCGTATCTCCAGTGACCAGTGAATCTGATAAGCGGCGTTTGGATTGTCCGCGGAGCGAAACGATTTGTTCAGCGTTATCGTTTGGTCGCATACCGTAGCGATGTCCCACTGGTTGGTTCATTTACTTGCCTGTTCCCGACGGTTTATGTCCAACTCAACTGGTATTTCGTTCCTCTTGTCCGTAGACCTTGCAACTGCAGCATAGTCGGTGGACTGGACAATCGAGCGGTGTGTGACGCACAAACCGGACAATGTTTGTGCAAGCAAAATGTTGGCGGAAAACAGTGTGAGAAGTAAGTCGTTTGCTGACTACCCCAACCGGGACGCTTCTGTGACTTTTTCAACTGTACCGGTTAAATTTGACTTGTTTTTTGTTTTGTTGCTTTCAGATGTAAACTCGGTCACTATGGTCTAATGTCCAATGATCCGCTGGGTTGCAAACCATGCGCGTGTTCAAGCCACTCGTCTGAATGTGAGTTGGACGTGGCAAAAGTAGCCGAGGCAGCAGGGAAACCAGGTAAGTAGTATTTCTGGAATGAGTTCGTCTGGATGCATTCAGATGAAAATTGAGATGTAAAAGGAGGGGTGTGAAAGCCCCCGTTTATCGACTTTAACGTAGAACCAGCATGGGCGGTTCCTGATCAAATTGCTTGAGTTTTCGACAGGCTGAAAACGGGGGCGTATCCACAATAGTTTCGAAACCAAAGTCACCAAAATAAATGACCTTCGCCACTTTGCGCTCCTACTATCCATGAATTACTCATGATATTTCACTTATTTGAACACTTCTTCGGCCTGTTTTAGTGTAAATGAGTAGTGTGTGAAGAGAATGTGAATGGCTAACGATGGCTTCTTTGTGAATGGATCTAGAAGATATTGAGTGCAGGGAAAGCAAGTCGAAAAAGATTATCCTGTTGCGGAGCAAAGCATCGCTTCTTACAGTGAAAATGATGGTCTCTATATTGAAGCTACACATTCTGAGGTTCTGAGAGAATAACTCAGTTTGGTAGATTCGTCGGACAGCCAACAGAGGTTGAGATTTGTACTTTTTGACTGTGCCGTCTTCAGGTAAGGCGTGTGATCACTCTGTGGTTGTTGGTTCCGGAAATCTCCCTCCTTCACCCAATCTATCCACATTATTATTACGAATTTAAGTAACCTAAATTTTTACGCAAGGACAAGTGCCACCGTTGAAACCGCCAGAAACACACGAAGCCGCAAATAGTCTACCTTTACTCGGAGGTTCAATTAAACTAATTGTCTAATTTAAATGTACTGCGTTGCATTGTACCTTGTTCATTTTCATTTTTTATATTTTGGTTGTATTCAATTTGTAACCATCAAGCATGAGATCCCAGATAGTTCGGAGTGCTCACATTCAAACACTTGTGCATCCACTGTTGTGCTACACTAACCAAGCGTGTGGATCACCCAGCCGTGGCTCGCGGACACCCGATTTAACTTTGTGTCATCTGTTAAGCCTTCTGGCGGTTTAAGGACTACCTCCTCAGAACAACTTCCGGCATTGTTCCCTCGGCTGTACACTGCCCCGATGCAAACCACATATTGGAGTCTGATTGTAATCCAGTCAGCTTAGTTCGATGTGACAGGCATGTCCGGAAAAGGAAGTAAATCAGAGGGCACAGCTCAACCATATCCAGAGGCTTTGGAACATATGTTTTGCAGACTGGTTTATTTGGCTACAACCGGCAAAACGGTGGGCATCGCTCGTCAGTGCTCCGAGCACTTACATCATCATCATCATCATCATCATCATCATCATCATCATCATCATCATCATCATCATCATCATCATCATCATCATCATCATCATCAGCATCATCATCATCATCGACAGCATGGCATCAGTGTTCAATACCGATGCTTCACTGCCATGAGCACGTGGGTCGGATCTAGCTCATTTCAGCTTTTGAACAATCAATTGGTCTTTCATATCCTTACCTCGCATGTACCAGCACGTCCAAGACCGTTTTTCATACATTACATGCCTCATTTCCATATTTTGCTTCCGTTACCTAACTTCAAGTCAGAGGTAACTTAAGCAAGCAGGGTTCGACGAAAGGCAACCCATCAGCTGACGTGCAAAGGAGTCGGCCAAGTCAATATTACTGTTTCAGGCTCATGGCATACCGGAACATTTGCCTAATGACTAAATAAGATCTTCCAATGTGAAATCCAATAGTTTGACATCCCAGTATTTCTTAAGAAGCGCTTCTCCTCATATATAAACTAATGGCAAACCTATTCTATGGTGGAGGATTACTGTAGACTGAAAGTGATTCCGGGGAAGGATTACTGTAGACTGAAAGTGCTTCCGGAGATTTTTATACAAAAGAGATAGCTAAATGTCAGAGATTTATCACGTCTATGTGCGATTCCTCGTGACTTTTTCGTATCACCCTTCCAGTGCTATATTTGGGGTCATCCAAGGAATCTCAAAGGCCGACAGCATTGATCTAGTGTAATACATTCTGTTCTTCCGTAATGCTCAGACAACTAATTTGTTCATACGGCAAACTGTCATGCTGATTCTGCTGATTTTTCAGGTGAGATCGTGGACCTGGCCACCCTCGTTGATCCAGCCAAAGTGATCATCAACTGCCCACCGGATTATCACCCTTGTTTCGCCTGTCTTCAGAAAGGTAAATCCCCGTGTATTGTGAGTTGGTATTAGTCCCCGAGCATGCGTTCACTCCCTAGATGTATGTGTTGCCCGCCTCCGTCTTCCTGGAAGTCATCATTCAGTATGTGACATGTAAAATCAGTAACCACATCAGCGTAGACTTGTAAGCCCCAAGATTAAATTGACAGGACATGTTTTTCCAAGCATGGAGACAACCAGTGGGAAACTCCACCGCTCTCTGCAACCTCAGATTCCTCCCAGCTTTACTCAGAAAAACTAAGACCACTAAAGTTGTATTTCCCTCTGTGTTCACGGGAGTATGACTCTGTCACTTGTTGGTACACTAGTCATCTCGTAGATTTGCTATGTTGCTACTTATGAGTAGTCATATCACTTCAGTGAATGCATTTCCCAAATCCAGCTCATTGAGGAACTATAAGAAAAAGGAGAGCTGCCAGAACACGCATTTTTCCACCCCTGGATGATTCATTTTCCCATACATGCAGAATTAAAAATTCCTTTGCAAGTAAAATTTGCGTCTCCAGCATCCCCGGTGAAATCTCTACTTTACAGTAAAATGGCGAACACTAGATTCGTTTGAATTTCCCGGTAACACCAATTCATTCTAATCCAACATACGTATAATCCGGTGTTCAGTAAAGGGCTGTCCGAAAATTTTCGTCAACATCGTAAGTAGCGCTGTGCTGAGAAAAAGGTTCTGGTTTCGGTAATAGTGCATTAGTTGAAGTACAATGCGGCCTTTGTGCAGCACATGCGAAGAACGAGAGACACTCAGCTGATGTTCAGCTGAGTCAGCCAGAAAACGAGCATAGAGCCCTACTGACGTAGTTTTATGGTCACCTTAGAAGTAAGATTAAAGGAGGTCGGGAGCTATACCCATCTGATGAGACCACAGATGAGCAAAATCTTCCAGCCGCCAACGTTTAAAAAGTGTTGTATAAGTGAAACATTGCTTCATTCTCAAAAAATATGAGAATACCTTGAAAAATTTTACTAGTTGTTACTTCAAGTGCGTGAAGGACTTCCCTTCTGATGATACGTGCTGCTTGCTAGATCAGCAATACTGTGCGGACATGATCAAAGCTAGGTTTTTTCACATACCGGGTAGAATATCTGCTGGATCTTTGCAAATGTATGCATTACAAACCACACACAACCAAAGTGACGCAGTCTGATGAGCATGAAACCGAATCTCAACGGTGTGGTCGAACTGGTTACCACTTTCGCATCAACAAGATATACACCTATACTGTAAAACGGCGAGACTACAAACAGCAGATAAATTACACGTGGATTGTTGTATGACACTTTATTCCCCAAGAAAAACAGATGGTGAGTGTAGTGCTAGTCGGACAGTAATCTTTGATTGTGGTTCGACGTTCGCATGATCGATTGGGTTGTTTGGCTAGTGCGCCCTTTAGTAGTCTTTCGACGCGCTGAGAAGACCCTTGACCTTGACCCCCTGTTTGTTGCCCTCCATGGCTTACGCCCGTTTGACCCACTGTGTACCATGGTTTCCGGCTGCTCCATTGTTTTACTTTGAGTGCGAGTCGTGGTGAGAAAATATTAAAGGTCGTTCGCGCGTAGCCCAGTCACACAAATAAGCCAATTGACCAACCAACAAGATCGACCATCCGAATGGCCGGTCAAAGTCAAAGAGCCTCCAGATCAACAAAATGTATCTAACCACATCAACGCACCGCCAAACAGCGGCTCAATGCCAGTTCACATCGACTGGTGATGAAATGTTTGCACCACAAGTGTCAAGGTAGACCGGAAAAACAAAGCCATGTACACAACCTGAGGTACTGAAAGTGGTAAATAGCTAACGGGCTATCTAAAAAAGACGCAATATACTAAATGTCTGAGTGACTGATGCTTAATATCATATCTTGGATTACCAAAGCGCAGGATGAAGTCTCAACAACTACTGTCGAGTTATGTTCTTCCTAATGTGAGCTGGTTGCTGAAAAGTACCTAGCTGGTGGATTGCAGAACGATCAGATCAACTTTCAAGAAGCTACTGAAATAACAAATTTTTGGAATTTTTGCCACAAAAACTAGATTCGAAAATTCAAAAGCACCTACCACAAAAAGAAGCATGAAAGGGCCAAGTGAGCTCATCTCTTGAGCCAAAAAGACCTTCAGATTGGTTAAGTACGGTGCAAATAAGACATTTCCCGGTTTGGAATTTCGTAATCCCCTATGCTGTATTGCTGAAGTGAATGCAGGCAAGAACAACCAGGTGAACTGCTCGATATTGATTTCCTTCTCTCCTGTATACTGAAAAATTGTTTCCACTTTTTCTTTCTGATAGACCGACAAAGTGTTCGTATCGAATGCAACGGGACAAGCGAAGGTCACCTCCCTTGTTTGTGCGTCAAAGATTTAAACCAGTGTCAGTATTGTGCCTCAGGTAAGTGCGGATCAATTTTTCTATTGTAAAAGTCAACTGTTGTAAAACTGTTAATAAAGGAAACTACTCACAAGTTTGCTAAAAACTCTTCGACAGTCCACGACCGGTTTCACCCCTCTTGGGGCACATCAGCTGGGCGCAGTCCCCGAGTTCTACTTGAACCCAAATTGGACTGTTTTTAAGAAATGCACCCACTTGCAAATCAATTTGGTTTTCACGAGAGACTAAACCGAATCTCTCGTTTATGATATTCTGCAACTGAGTGTGCTGCACACAGGCCGCCTTATGATTCAGTTGGCACGATATTCGAGATATCGCAGTATATTTTCATAAAGGAAACTACTCACGAAGTTGCTGAAAACTCTTCGACAGCCCACGGCCGGTTTCGCCCTTCCCCTTTGGGCTCATCAGGTAAGCGCAGTCCCCGAGTTCCCTTCAACCTTATGTTCTCGTGAAAACCAAACTGATTTGCAAGTGAGTGTATTTCTCGAATACTGTTAACATCCTTTTTAAATGGCTGACTGACTGTCTGTGATTGGATGCATTCAGCAGCCGTCAGAACTTGCCAGAAAATGAATCAATACAGCAAAAAAACGTAGCAAATATGGCGACACTTACTTCGACTATGTCATTCACTGTTATTCAAACCTGTTAACGCTTCCAATGTGTACATTACTTCCACCAAAAACGACCAACCCTCCAGAATGGTCCATATCCAGAATTCCTATCGGGCCACCTCCCGAATCCCACGGGAGGTGGAATGATTCTAGTCAATGAAAATGCAAATACTGACCGTACAGTGGGTACTATCCATCTGAAGCGCGTTCATCGGGCTTGACTTAAAATCATGAAAGACGTCTACAAAAGTATACCGATACAGTCACGAAGTTTATTTTGGCACTGTGATCTACTGCGACGTGTGGTTGATTCGGTCATAATATCAAGTTTAGTAGGTGAACTAAATAGGCCTTCATTTGCGGATGCCCCGATAGGCTTCGTTTAAGGAATGGTTAAAGGTATCTATCATTTTGGACGCGGGTTTTTTCGTGCTTCATGAGAAAACAAAGGTGGCGATCAAAGTTGATTGTTAACTCATGAAATCCACAGTTATCATGAGTCTACTCAGATTCACTTAGTAAGCAATGTCCGTTGGAACCTGGGACAAACCCATACTTCTCACCCCTGAAACAGGTGGAATTCCAGCGAATGAATTCCATGTCACCGGAAGAGAACATGCTCATACACCCAGCCATAAGTATTACTAAGCTACCAATATTTTTAAATAAATCACGCACTTGTGCACTCACTAATCAGCCATAGTCGATGGATACGTTACGGTGAACCAAGGAATCGGTACCGAGTCATTAATTGGCAAAATCAATAATACAAATCTCATGAACTTCTACGGTAATCTGTGATCTCGACTTCCGGGTCAAGGGTTGAAATCAGCAAATTTGTTGAGTTACCCTTAGACAAGACAGGTACACTCGTCCTTCAGCCGTGACGTTCACTTCTCCCCTGAAAGAGGACTTCTTGAATGAAAGGCTTGTGTGCCCTGTGAAATTTCTCCCTTTCTGAACAGATTACTTAGATTTGGTAAGCGACGAGGGACTATTGATCGATATAGCACCCTGCAAGTGGATTCTGTCTATGCTGACTAACCCGGAATCACCAGACACTCGTTTTGCTCATGTGGGCGTCGTCAGTAGTGTGAAACCCCCAGACAGTTTCGAGTCTGCGGGTAATCTGTTGATCACGTTGTATAGAAGTAACACACTACCCATAAGGTTGCTGAAAATTTCCAATCGAAGAGTTACACACTATATTGCGATATCTCGAATATCGTAGCAAGCGGGACACGAGACGGTCTAACGCAGCACATATAGTTCAAGAGGATATCACAAACGAAGGATCCAGCTAGGATTCATGTGAGTCAGTCGTGGAAATAAAACTGATTTGCAAAAGAGTGTAGTTGTCCTAATCAAACTGTTTCGAAGTTCGGTTTGCTTCAGTGAATGTGACATCGACCTTGCACCACAAACGAATGCGGAGTGAATGTTCATCCGCATGCTTTTGGATTTCCTTAAGCCTTATAAAACTCTACGGTGATTGGCCGACAGCCAACTCTGATGCCTGATTTTACCAATCAGATGGCTCAGAAACAGAGCGAATTGTTAGAGCAGCAGACTCATGTCACGTTAATGGAGAGGTCATCACAATGTCCATGGTCGAATTGTTAAAATTGTGTGAAAAACATGCATGTTGGTAACAGTACACTTAGTGAGTAGCGTTGACCATCCGTTAACCATCAAAGTTCGCTTCGTAGAGCCAGTTAAAAGTAGTGTGTGCCCAAACTCCACTAAGGAGGCAGCTTTTGGGTTCTCTGAGTTGGAACTTTCCTTATAGAGGACTACCACGACTGGATCCCACCGGTGGTCCAAGCTGGAGGAACTGTTAGTTTCAAAAAATGCAGCGTGTCTGTCACGAACTGCATTCACTTATAAAACGATGGCTCGCTCGCAAGATCAATCACTAGCACTTTACAAACAGCAACAGTTTATCCGTTGTTACACAAAGTATAAAAATTCATGGTCATACTGTGCATGTGGTGAACTTCGTTCTCTCATTCTGCCACACAGTGAAGCCCTCTTTTTCAGGATAATATAAACTAATTAATTTGCAAATAAATATACTTCATTGTTTGCGTACAACTTGGTGTTCAAGTAGAACATAAGGTTGCCTGGAACTCTGGGACTGCTCCTATGTGATGAATTCCAAGAACGCTAAGAACGGCTCCACGGCTGTTGAAAAGTTTTCGTAAACCTCATAAATAGTGTGTTCCCTCATGGTATAAATGCACTTTACCTTTCCAATACACCCTTCTTTCCCTATAGGATGGNAAAGGACCCTGCTACGAAATTTGCAAGTGCCCTCCACAGTATACAGGCACGTCGTGCGAAAGTTGTGCATTTGGTTACCGCCGCGATCCACCTGACGGTCTGCCCACAGATCGTTGTGTAGCCTGCACATGTAACAATCATTCTACTGTATGCCATCCTGAAACTGGTAAGCCAGTAACCGTATACACTCCTCTTCATAATCATTTGGACTTAAAGAGATTAGGAGCCGGTGTTCTAAACTGACCTCAGAACCAGGGCTAGCCATTATCCGTTTGTTTTATGATTCTTGTCAAGGAAGATTTTGGACACCGGTCCTCATCGCTATCGACTTTAAGCAGTCTGCACACCATATCCACGCCAGCTGTATGTTCAGGTCAACTTGATAGCGAGTGTTTCACATCCGGTGTTTATATGACGTGGCGTCCCGGTCGAAACAAACTACACAGTATAAACAATACAAACAATAAAGTGGTGCGATTGTTTTCATGGCCACCTGCCAGTTCAGTTCACCATGCTAACTTCAATGTCCAGATCCGAACGCTTGGCCTGTGCCAACCCGCTTTTTCTCACGGCCAATTACGGACTTTATTTGTGTAGTTCAATCTTGGCTACTAGAAAGATAGCAGTAGCTAAAGTATAATAATTTCATAGTGTCATAGCCCATTGGCCTCACAGCGGCAGAGCAAGCAAAGTTGCGACAGAAAAAATATTCCTCTGGAGGACCTCCCTCATTGTGGTCGTGAGCTATCGTGCCCTCGGTCAGGTGATAATGTCTGACGTAACTAGTGAAAAATATGCGGGACATCTGTGTAAACAGCATCCAGCGAATAGAGCTCATGGATGATCGAACGAACATCTAGCGTATTTTGAAGCTTTCCTTTGGTATGCTTCCAGCGTTTGGTGTACTTATCTCTTCAAACAGCTTTCTTCATGTCATTAATTTACTCTAACCATATTTATGAGTGTTCTCCGACCTCGGGTTAAGTCATACATATAGATTCACCGACTTTTATTATTTCTTTCGTACGACAGGTCAGTGTGAATGTCAGGACAACACAGGGGGGTTGTTTTGCGATCGATGTGCTGACGGGTACTACGGCAGTGCGTTCGCACCCATTGGTTCGGCCGACGCCTGCAAGCCTTGTCCGTGCCCGAGCGGAACAAAGTGTGAACAAGTACATTGGCCTGACCAAACTATAAAGGTAGTCTGTACAGACTGTCCGGATAACAGAGCAGGTCAGTGTATAGAATTACTGCACTGAATTTTAATGGCGGTATATTCATGCTGCAACTTAGTCAGAGCTCAGCAATTTGCATGAGTTCTGCCATGCATGAGACAACCCTACTACCTGTTTTCCCGAATCTTTCTATGATCCCTTTTTCCTGCTCATTCTGAATAGGTAGAAAGAAGCTGAGGATTCAAGTAGAACCGTCTGCTCCACCCAACTTTCTCTGTTCACGAAATCGAATTCTCCCAGGATGTCCGCTTATCGATATTCAGCGCGCAGGAAATTCGTCACTAGAGGACCCAGTCAATATATGTGGCCACGTGCTTTAGATCCCGTGACTGAAGGATGGGCTGCGCTATATCCTGTCTAAATGCCAGCTAATCTCACTGTTAATCAGCAGCCCATGGCCAAACAGCAAAGTGCTTAAACTATTAGCCAGGAGGTTTTCGGTTTGACTCCCTGAATTTCCGCGAGATATGTAGTGTTGATGCTTCCCTAAAACAGCTGCACAGTGCTTTTCACATTTTACTCATAGATTGGCTTCACTTACTAACAAGCCATCTTTCCGACACAATATGAGCACTGGGAAATGAAAAACTGAGGTTCAGTTATGGATATCCTTGGGATCTTAAGGAACGGCACGAATAACCAGGATGCAGTAAATGAATAACTACCTTAATTTCTAGCCCCAAGATGCTTCACTGGATTTCCGGTTGTTTCGATGCTTTCTGCTACTGACTGCAGAATGCCATAGAGCGGAGTCAAAACGCACAAATCGGACACGTCCGGACACATGAGAATGCAGAAGCGTGATATGGGCCAATAGAAAAATCAACCAATCGTGTGAAAGGAGTCCAACCATCTGCTGTGACTAGTTGTCCAATCATGAACGAATGATGACACGTGGATTGACTGATCGATCGAAGGAACAACCAAATCAACATGAACAGTGTTTAGAAGCAAACTCGGAAAATCACACAAGTCGGCGTTCATGCAGGTTATCTCCTAGCACCAATGTAGGTATCCGAAGTTGGTCCATTGCAACCAGTTACGGAGATCCGGTTAGGTTGTACGTAAAAGGGTCCAAACATGCGGTCGGCGTTAGAAGGGTTGGAGTTTTCAGTCGCATCATACAGAATGCCCCGTACAGTACCTCGAAGCAAAAGCAGTGAATGGAAGAGGATAAGAGTCACGCAGTATTTTCATGTTTCAGTGAATTTGGGTTTCATCTAACACAATCACCGCTTCGTGTTGTTTTAGCAGGAGAACTAGAGCGACAGTAGTTGATCAGGTGCTTTTTGGCCTCCTCGCCAAGCTGTTGCGTCCGAACAGTGACAAAACATTTGCAGACCATTCATACAGAATGCCCCGTACAGTACCTCGAAGCAAAAGCAGTGAATGGAAGAGGATAAGAGTCACGCAGTATTTTCATGTTTCAGTGAATTTGGGTTTCATCTAACACAATCACCGCTTCGTGTTGTTTTTAGCAGGAAACTAGAGCGACAGTAGTTGATCAGGTGCTTTTTGGCCTCCTCGCCAAGCTGTTGCGTCCGAACAGTGACAAAACATTTGCAGACCATGTCCAGTATTCCGACACACCACCAAATCCAGTGCCTTGTTAATTCATCGTTTATTCCTTCCATTATACCCTTTTTGTCAGGTGTCCGATGCGAACGGTGCGCGGAAAACTACTACGGCGACCCATCGAAAGGGATTCCCTGTAAACCCTGTGACTGTTCGGGTAATGTGGATCCCCGAGAATTCGGCAACTGTGACGGGTAAATTTGTGAGACTGCTTCATACCATATAAGTTCTTAACAAACAGCTGTTTTCCCGTTGTTCTAAGTTGATACCAACGGAGCTGTTGATTTCAATGGCTATAATTGAAGGATAACATCGCCTAGTCCGAGCTTTGCAATAAAACTGATCAGCCATTTCGGTTCAGCTGCGATATTTTGGAATGAATAATGGTCTGTATTCCCCGAGTGAGTATTTATTCATTAATATACCGACAAAATTATTGGATATACGCGTCGGTATGAATAAGCCTATACAAAGGGTTCAAAACCACCCGGTTCTTGTGAATGAATCAGGTACGTTTTCTATCTGGATGCCAGATACTACGTGTCAACAGTTTGACGTGAGTTGTGACGCTGTCACCTACTGAGATGGCTGTCGATTTCTCACACAAAACGTCTAAAGTTAGCATGCAGTTCGTATCTTTCGTGTGCCGCCTCTGATATTTTGCCCTTCCGTTTCTGCATACGAGTAGGCTTTCATGGAAGGTGGAATATGTGTATTCTTCCTCACGCTGTTGATCAGCGGGATATGTTGGACGTGGCAACTCGCTGACAGAATACGCGAGCATCGCTCTTACCAAAACACGGAAAATTAGTGCAATGTATTCCGAGCCTTGCAAGAAATCTGATCAGCCATTTCGTTTCAGCCGCGATATTTTGGAAAGAGTAATGGTCTGTATTCCCCGAGTGAGTATTTATTCATTAATATACCGACAAAATTATTGGATATACGCGTCGGTATGAATAAGCCTATACAAAGGGTTCAAAACCACCCGGTTCTTGTGAATGAATCAGGTACGTTTTCTATCTGGATGCCAGATACTACGTGTCAACAGTTTGACGTGAGTTGTGACGCTGTCACCTACTGAGATGGCTGTCGATTTCTCACACAAAACGTCTAAAGTTAGCATGCAGTTCGTATCTTTCGTGTGCCGCCTCTGATATTTTGCCCTTCCGTTTCTGCATACGAGTAGGCTTTCATGGAAGGTGGAATATGTGTATTCTTCCTCACGCTGTTGATCAGCGGGATATGTTGGACGTGGCAACTCGCTGACAGAATACGCGAGCATCGCTCTTACCAAAACACGTTTCAGCCAAAGGCTAAGTCGCGTCCCACATGATCGGCATCGGTCACATGACCAATCCGAACAAGTCCACTCACTTCATCCAAGAGGCTCCGAGTCGACTGCTAGTTTCGCTCCAACAGCCACAGCCGAAGCAGTCGCAATAAGTTTACAAAACCCGGGACTGTGCTGTCAAAAACGATTCGCACGAGCACTGCGTCTGCCTTCGCCGAGTGACACGAATTAATCGACCCAGTCGCTCAACGGTAGTCTATGATTCGCACGAGCACTGCGTCTCCCTTCGCTGAGTGACACGAATCAATCGACCCAGTCTCTCAACGGTAGTCTAGACTGTTTCAAAATATACACTTGGATGCGAAATGTGGTGCGCTCGATTGTGTCCCCATGTTTCCTGATTCACTACACAATTTTAGCTGCTTATTTGATTTTAACTATTAAATACATACTAACCCTTTGACGAGATCCCGAAAACATTGACGTACTTCACTCTGTTCTGTTTCGTGGAACCCTTATCTGACTAGCCAGCTTATTATCTTTGTACGCTTCCAGTTGTCCCATGCCAGATCTTCAATGCCTGAACATCCGGTTCTCATGGCGAAATGGCAGACGAGCTGAGATTCATTCAACTGTACAAAAACACCAGTATTGTGCAAGATTGTTCTAATATTGTCCGTTTGGCCATCTATCCATTGCGCATAACCTGTACGAACTCCACTAAACCTGACTGACGTGTCCCCTTTCGATTTCCTTTCCACAGAATTACAGGCGAATGTCTTAAATGCATATTTGGAACAACTGGTAAACACTGTGAAAAGTGTCTTCCCGGCTACCGGCGTAATTTCAAACCAGGCACGGAGACCGGAGAAGCTTTGGTGCCCGCACGTGGCTGTAGTCCTTGTCACTGCAATCCAGTCGGCACACTGGCAAGCTACGGCCAAAGTGGGATTGGAGTCTGTAATCCAGAGACTGGCCAGTGTCCATGCAAGCCTGGTGTCGGGGGACTTCGATGTGACAAATGCTATCCGGGCTTCTACGGATTTCGTACCGGCGAGGTAGACAATACGACCATTTTCACACTACATAGCTAGGTTGTTGAACTTCGGGTTGAGTGCACTTGGTCTGATTGGAAAAAACCAGACCAAAGAGTTGAGAACAGATTTCAAACCAAACGTACAAGTTTTTCAGACAGCTAAATTTTGCAAGAGTTTACCAGTCTTTAACAAAGCAGTTCAAAATGCCGCAAAGTTTCAGCTAACTCTAAATAACAGCTTGTCGGACAGTGTGAAATTTAACATAGCAACATTTCTAAGGTTGTTTCGGTAAGACCAGCTTCAACAGGCCTCAATATCTCCGCTGTTCTTGTGCGAGAACTCGCTTACTAGTCCGCTTTGTACGCGCCTTCTCGTAGTTCGCTTATAGAAGCCGCGCCAATTAAAGCAGTCCCCATCTATGAGGTTCTTCTAACCACATTCAACTTTTTAATGGAGAATTTGCTCAGTTTCTCAGATTCCCCCACCGCAAACAACATTGTCAAGTCAATTGTGTAGAAACTTATGGGCCTTAGAACTGTCCAAGTCAACTCATCTGAAGATTGTACTACGAGCAACAACCAGTCAAGTGTAGCGAAACATTTCTACTGTCTGTTTCCATATCAGGGTTGCAAACCATGTGACTGCGACTCAATCGGTGCGATTGGTGAAGCTTGTGATGACCACACAGGTAGCTGCTCTTGCCGACCTTACGTGACCGGACGTCAGTGTGATCAATGTCTACCTGGCTACTTCAATCTAACCAGCACTCATGGTTGTATGGCTTGTAACTGTCATCCGTATGGTGCTGAGGACCGTCAATGTGACAAGACTGGTCAGTGTAAATGCAAACCGTTTGCAGTTGGAAAAAAGTGTGATCAATGTCAGGTGAGTAAAATTCATCCTTTTGACCTTTATCGGATTATTACTAAACAAAGCCTTGAGTAGTTTGTGGAATCGCAACAAAAGACAAGATTCACTCAAGGTTACAGCGCCGTTGTGCACTTGTTTGACACGTATGCTGGCCCAGCGAAATACGGTGTTGCGGAGAGAGCGGGTATGTGTGAAGCTCTCAACAAAACTCCGGTATTATACTTAGTTTTGGGTTGTTTAAGCAGTCCTCGTTCTGTCTTAAAGTCATTATTCGGTTTAGTTTAGGAGTCTCGTCCTTGCTCCCCTCCTATTCACCAACGTGATTAGTCGTAAAATGGAAAAATAATGAGCGTTTTAAGGAGATATTCAAATCTTCGATCACCCTGTGTGTATCCGAGCCTCAAACAAGCCTCAACCAATAGAATGGAAGTTTTCCCCACTAGAACCAGTTTTTCCATTTCAAACTCGCCATAAGCGTTTTTTTCCCAAAGCGTCGTTGAATTCATAAAAAAATCACTAATCTACTTGCAGGAAAACCACTACAATCTAGAAGTGGGTTGTCTGCCATGTCCAGCATGCTACAATCTGGTTCAGGCACGCGTCTCGAAATTGTGGGGAATGCTCGAGTCCGTATTTGGTCCTTTACGTCCTGACTCAAAGCCCGGTGTTCAAATTTCTCCTGATGATAAAGATCTCTATGCTGAAATGAAGAAGCTCAACGAAACCATTGTTTCACTCTATCGTGATGTTCTTCAAATCGGAGGTAAACTTACTGTTCCATGCTTTTTTCTCGCACTGAAATCTAAGCTACTGAGTGAATGTTAGTAGATAGTTTTCTGCATATTTATGAAACTAACTGCCAGCGGATTTCACCCCTATTATTTTCCTCAGCTTGTCAATTACCATTTATGTTTGACAGACACACAGTTTGAAACGTAGGTGAGGTGACCCAATCGCAAACAAGCAAACTAATCATTAGTCTCAAGTTAAAATGAACGTTAGCATGAACGTGACCAGATTGGAAGTTACACGAATTCTAGTGTTTTGCAGTCCTGTGAGGATCACATAACGCATACGCATACGTGCCTCGAGGAAATACAGATTTTGTACCCCACTGAACGTTATCTATATATCGGGAGAATACGATGCTTCGTGGAAAAGGGAATTCAGCGCCGCAAGAAGTTAATTTCACTGGCACTCGACGGGTAGGCCTACAAAGATCGCTGCTTTCGACACCACTCGGTTACCGGTTTCTGGCTGCCTGCACTGAACTACCCACCTATCGGCCGTTTTTCACAGTTTGGGGGATTTGACAGTTTACTCGTTATAGGAGATATCGGCGGACGACCAGTCAAGACTTGAGAGTGAATCGCTGGATCAGCAAATGCCGCAATAACAACCGGTCCGTCAGGAACTTTAGAACGTAGAGAAACTCAGTAAGAAAAACACTCGTCAAATAATTGAAGCTTGCAGAGGCTGTGTTTATTTATTCAAGAAGCAACAACAACAAACGGTAATTTTCCAGGATGGAAACAGGAGACGTTTGTGCTCTTTTAGGCGAAATATTCAGGGAAGCTAGAGACTAGGTAGAATATACCAAGCTGTTCACCATGTCACGATGAAGATTTTTTGACTGAATCAGAAATAGCCTGGGACAATATCGATTTGTTGTTGTTAAATTCCTCATAAATGGACACAACTTTTTGGACCGGGTTTTGAGTAACAACTCTTGGATCCCGACCAAGGTAGTGCTACACTTATGCTACACTTATGAAGTAAGTGCAAAGACAGAGCACTGGGATAATGCATGAAGAAAAAAGCATAAGGAATCCGGTGGACCTCCGAAGCGTCGTGCACACTAATTGCCTTCTGGGTGAAAGTCGGGACGGCGGGAACGTGTTTCCTCCGCAGTATAGCTGCTACACGTGTTCTATAGTTGTTTGTGGACATGTATTGGTTGGCTGACTTCCTGCCCCCTGAGCGCGCACGGGTTGACTGTGTCTTCCTATATATAGGAAGGTCTGATGTGTGTATAATACATAGAATCGTTCCGATGCGTACAAGACGGGAACTGACTTGCTTTCGGTCAGGGTTGCGAGTGGGACAGGGTTTGTCACGTGATTTGTGTGCTTGCGGAGCAGGCGTGATCCAGTGAACATGTATGCACTGGACAAATTAAGTGAAGTTGGTTGAGGGAACAATGAAATGTCCGTTACGTGTACGCAGTTAGTCCCCGGAACAAGTGAACTCAAGTTATCGGTCGGTGATGAGAATAGGTCTATTCCAGAGATGTACAACAATTCAATTGCTCTGTACTTCGACAAAATGCAACAAATTGAAATTTGGCTGGTGATCTGGAACGATGTAATTAGTGCATCAGTAAGCAGAACACGAATTGCATCACTGCATTTGAACTTATGAAGTGTGTGTTCAACTTTTTACAGGATTAGTGGCTGATGACAGTGAACACTCTACACTAGATCGTGCATCAGTTACCTTAAGATTTCCAAATAGTGTGGTTTTCATTGACTGAAATAAAACGTCGTTTCAAATCATCCAGATTTGGTCGGGTTTCCAGATTACCCTATATCCCGTTGAACCAATTTCGGTAAAAATTCAATAAAACAAATTGCCATTAAAAATTCAATAAACCACATTGTCCATAACATTGTCCATTTGACATTATAGTTCCGATTGTCGCTTCCGAAACCCCAAGAGTTCTTTTCACTTTTTCGGTATAAATCAGAGTGCATCAATCAATAAGGAAATTCACGTCGGGACAATAGTCACGTGACTGTTAACGATTTGTTGACACAAACGGGATTAGCGACCAGTTGAAACACGACTGGCCACGCCCCTTATTAGCAGGCCTGCGGGACGGACACATTGCTCTTTTTTTTACTTTAAGGAATGCATCCACATTGCGCTGTAGCGAGTTTTGGAAGTAGTGAAGATTTGACATTAGAAACGATGACTTGCCGAGAAATCGAAAGACGCACACGGCAAGACTCGTGCTAGTTCTCTACATCGTTGTGTAACTTGAAAAAATCTCCTTCAGGTGAGGACAAAACACTCCCCTGGATCACTCATTTGCAAACTAATTCGGTTTTTCGAGAGACTCACCTGGAACCCAGTTGAATCTCTCGTTTGCGATCTTTCCAGAAAACTGAATGTGCTGCACCAGGCCGCCTCATGTTTCAGTTGCTAAAATATTCCATATATCGCGATACATCTATATTTGTAATGCACTACACATATGGTTGCTGAAACTTCGTCGACAGCCCAATCTAATTTGGTTTTTTCGCGTGACTCACCTGGAACTCAGCTGAATCACTCGTTTGTGATGTTTCCCTGATTGTTTCCCTTGAATCATTTAGTTAAGTCAACTAATAAATGAACTAATTCATTCAGAGGATTGAGGAATCTGTGTAATGTTGAACAGGTATCCAAGCGCAAAAACAGACAAACGTGCTGTTCCAGTGTGTGTTCACCGTATCCTATGCCAGAAATAGAAACTGCTAAATGAACGTTTACGTCGAAACGCAATAAGTCAAGGCTGAGCAGTGACATCACGTGGTTTTATTCCACCCTTTGTGTCACCCGGTAGTTAGGTTATCTGTTTCAGTGGAAACTTCTGTACTATTTAGAGTGTATCTGTTTTATAAGAGCATTCACCTTTGGAATTAGTTAGGCACACATAATGTTGCTATCAGCAGAGGAGGGTGGCGATATGACTCAAGGGGCTAGAGCACGAATTTGGGGGACACATAATGCTGCTATCAGCAGAGGAGGATGGCGATATGACTCAAGGGGTTAGAGCACGAATTTACTGACCAGGAGGTCCGTGGTTCAAACCTGACCTCTGCTTCTCGACTTACCCTGTCTAGTCTTGGGAAACTTGGCAGTATCCCAGCCCTCGTGCTTCCTTCGGGTAACATGGCGGCTAGGCACCGGAAGGGTGTTACAGCTGAACGATCAGCAGTCTTTTGTGATCGGTCAAGGTATTCGATTGAACGTTTTTAATCGGCAATCAAGTGACCAACGATCCAAGCGGTCTTAATGAAACTATCGCAGTCACTTGATTACGTTTCCTAAACTCTTACCTCAAAATACTTGGAGTTCGTGGAAACAGAAAGTTATGAGGGTCCCCAAGTTCAAGACTGTTTCACAGAGGCACGCAATTCTTCTGACAGACTTTCAGTGCTTCTTTTCATAAGTATCTCTCAACTTCGTATTTAACGCTTACTTTTTCTTTCATTTCCAGCTACGACATCAGTTGTCGATTCGGACCAACTTACGAAAACCGTGGAGGGACTGGCTCAGGAAGTGGACAAAGTCCGGAAAGATATGGACGAAGTTGTAACCAAATCAGTACGTATTTGCACGTGCGGATGAAAATTCCCCTTTTCGGGATTGACGTTGTTACATGCACTTCTTGCGTAGGTACCCTTCAACCCGGAGGGAGCATGATGGATAACCCTGCTGGATCCCGGAAAGTAGCAGCTGGAAATCGAAGAGTGGATTTTCTGATCACTGAACTCAATTACTAACTGTTTAGCTATGTCCAACTAAATGTTCAAGGGTGTAACAAAGAAATGTGTCTATTCCAAGGGGAATAGACCGAATAACAAAAGTTGACTGAAGCGGCATTGCAAGACGGTTTTTTTAGCACGAACAGGAAGATATTTACAAACTATTAGAAGAACCAGCTGCGAATGTAGTTGGACTACACAACAGTACCGATGGAATAACCATTTTTGTTGAGACATTTAATTGGTTGCTCTTCACTTGCCTTTGACCGATTAATTCTATTTTTAGGATCACTTGGCCCACTCGGGACCTTCCACGTGAGCTCTATAAGCAGCCCGTTTTGGGCTGCACACGACAGGCCCGTAGGTGTGTTCAGTAGATCAGCTGATTTGCACGTTCATTGGCTTTCTGGTTTGACTAAGCGCATCGGGCTATCAAGCGGCTATCCAGACTCGATTTCACGGTATTAAGAAGGCATTAAGAAACCTGTGGTCCACAACACAAACTAACCAGAGTCTAAATCAACGCTTCCAATAGGTCCCTTCTTCAAAAAAGTTTCAGATAATAAGTCATTGTCACGTACGTCTTGCGTACTTGTACTCGACATTCACTCAACAGCGTGTGGTCTTTTAAAATAAGGAAGACTTCCGAGCTCACTCGAGGAATGGCCTGTTTGCCCGATTGCATCTGAAAGTGGAGGGAATGGACATACTTATCGATCGATGTGATCCAAATGATCAGTGTAGATCGACCTAATTCTTTTCCTCATAAAACATTCCAAGGAATCGGTTTGAGTCAAAACGGAAGCGAAGTTCCTAATACACGACTCATAAGGTTGCTGAAAACTCTTCGACAACCCACGACCGGTTTCTCCCTCCTTGGGGCTCATCAGGTAGACGCAGTATCCGAGCTCCCGTCAATCTTATCTTCTACTTGAAACCAAAGCCCGGTTCCATCAAAGGTGTCTGGAAATACAGTAGGTGTGATGTCTCAAGAGCCATGAAGCCGAACTGCAATGCTCACTTGTTAGAACGACTTATGTTTTCGGGTCCATGGAATAGGTTTCAAGATAAGAGCATTGATTTCAATGGTCCTAATGATGATCGATTTGGTTTATTGACTGGGTAACTCACTGTTAGGGGAGGTAGAGTTTGTAGCCTACCGAATTTGATTGGACCAGCTCTGTAAATATTTCAGTAGTATCGATCAACGGTAGGGCTAATGTGTTCAGTACTGCATGGCCGCAGAATTTTCAAGGACAAATTCACCCTTCGTCCGACACTTCTGAGTTACAATAATTCAACGTGCCTTATATTTCTCTAGTTGTGAAATTCGCCGCTCCTGTGCGGTTAGATTACAGTCCCACTTTGAAAGCATAAAAGTGGCGGATTTCTGAAGCATTTCGCTGCCTAAAACTGTAAATTGTATATCTATGTGATATGCCTAGTGTAAGATCCGGGCGGTTATGGATCTCACAAGACGATTGCGGCTATTAGATTATACGCAGTTTGTAGCCAATAGTCAATAGGAGCATACAGACGTGGGGCAGCAGACGATATACTGAGGACTGACAGGAACTGGTTCTACAGACAAACGGATTGGTAAGCATAATGAATTAAGCAAACGTACAATCAATAATGACGCAGTCAGCAGGAGTGGAAAATTTTCACTGGCGCAGTACGGATTTATATGGGGGGAAGTCTGACAGGGACTGTCTTTCGGTCGGCTGCGCGACGCGGCAGCTCGTTTCACGTGGCAAGTCAGATAACGCGGTTTCGTCCGCTTAAAACAAATCTCGGCAAAGGATGTCTGGCAGGTGTGGTGAATGGGCAGCACAAAATAGTAGGCCGCTCCGTGGACGGGCAAAAAAATACTGACATCAATTACTGAGGAATAAGCAGACCTTAAGTAGGGACGAAACAGGGGAAAAACGGGCAGAGACGAAACAAACGGCGTCATAATAAACAGGTCTAATTCACGTTGCTTATGAGTAGTCAGATAACACGGAAAATTACCGCTAGTTGCCGTAGATTCGCAAGGAGAATCAGCACCTTGTAAACCAGCTGTTTCTCTGTCAGCTGAAGATGACGTGAAGTGAAATTTCTCCGCTGCATCAGTCGTCAACACAGAAAAAGCTACATCTCACTTTTTCAGTTTTAGTGCATTCATTTTGCTCCTTGGCCGTTCGCCTGTTCAGGGGACCAGGTTGCTGAAATTTTCGCCAGCGTTCCAGAATGTCTCTGTGTGTGCTGTGAAAGTGCCTTGTGTCCTTGTTCGTGGATATATATGATTTTTTAAGAGTTTCTAACAACAGGGGAATTGCTAACGCGGTGTCCCATTCGCTCGCTGCTTACCGGTGATTTTTAAGTCCGTGCTGTGTTTTCAAATTCACCTCACTTCCATGCTAACAGTCGCCCTCCTGTCCTGGTGTAGTTACTCTGGTCAGTCCACACCAAAGAGGAAACACTGGACATGAGTTCCGCTCCTAATAGAGCTTACCAGTAATGTATATCCTTGATCGTCCCGGAATTGGAACTACATATCGATGGACTGTTGTCGTTCCTAGTGTCTTTCCATCCCCTATTTTGTTAACGCTGGTTGGATGGCTTCTTTTCGAGTGGGTCGAATACTAGATGAAGAACATGTCTTGAGGGATTCGTTTTTTACAAGAATAAATTTATATCAGACTTTACTTACCAAACTGGAATAAGTGTGAGACCATGAGTCACCCGTCCTCTTCAGCTAATTCATCCAACAGGACAGCCACACTCCATCATCCAGTGTTAGGTAACCGAATGCTGTTTTGATATCCGCTTGCGTGCCCGACTTCCGGTCAGACATCTGTGTGCATTCGCGGTAATTTTAAGCCCTAGAAGAGACTCGTTAATCACACACTGTTGTCATTGTTAGTGAAAAACACCGGAAGATCCAGCTTGCGTATTAGGGGACTGTCGTGATTGTTAATGACCATTTGGGCAACTTGAACGCCTTCCAGTCTATGGCTTTGCTACTTTTAGTTTTACATTTTTGTGTGGTGAATTTCTTCTGGGACTAAAGGGATATCTGGTCGTCAACTGGGAAAAATCCCCTGATCCCGGTGGCTTATCTGCACAGAAAAACATGCCAAAATTGAGTATAATCTCTTTTATACGGCTTCTTATGGTCGAAGCCCCAAGAGCAAGCTGTCAAAGGAAGTGCAATCCACGGTCCGCTAGTTCTGGAACGGCCTCGATTGCAAAATCCGTAATTCTTATATCTTGAGATATCACTTGCTGGAGGAGCAACAGTATGCTCTGTGACGTGAACCAGTGCATAAGTGAGCTGTCCTGGTCGAATTGTATTCATTTTTCGGTTAAATGCCCTTATTATAAATGATAGGTGAAATCGGACACATTGATGAATTGGCTCTTATTTCCCCCTGGATTTTTCTTACTCATTTACGAATAAGTAGCTTAATTTTTAAGCACTGGAAATTCCTTCCGGTTGCAACCCGCCAATATTTTTGTGCTGCTAGGGGCCGATTAGATCAAAGTATCAGTAGTCGATAGCCTGATAAGTGGATCCAAAGTTCAGCTTCCTAACTCCATTGGCCTAGCTTGTGTGTTCTTTTATTTTGGTTCAGCCCACGCTTGGTGTTCTTTAGGATCCAGACACCCATGAACAGTACTAGTTTGGACGAAACATGTTGCTTTTCTAGAATATGTCACTTCTGTTTTATGATTACCAGTGCAATCACATGGCTTGGAAATTATCGAATCTCCCGTTGGGATTACGGTATTCTTTAGTAAATACCCGACTACTAACCAGTAGTCAGATTTCCACTTGAATCTTACGTTGCATCCCATTCAACTTTTTTTAGTACGCCTGCTCTGAGACTGAGCTGGATGCCGGGTTGGAGAAGCTTCGCAAGGAAGTAAACACGCGTCTTCCATCGCTATTGGATAATGAAGTGGTCAATGTTTTGAATAAATTAAGACAGAGTGCTGAGTCAGCCCTTAACGATCCAGTGTTGACATCGGAAGCCCGAATGGCGACTGCAACTGCCGAAAAGTTAGTATCAAATATTTGACAGCAATTATTCAAATTAGCTTCCTTAAAGTACAATCGCCTCACGCCTTACGCAACTAAGAGTTTTTGTACTTTATGAAGGTGTTACATTTTGTGTCTGCCACTTTATAAATGGTTGTGTCTATGTTTAAGTCTTCCCGCTTAGTAGAATGCGCGATTTCACCTAGTCACGAAATCACAGCTATCGCAGAACCACAGAAACTGTTTGATATTGAAAGAGCTGTCTGTGCGTTTTCTTTCTTTATGCACCGCGAATTCAATCTGCACACTCTGAATTAATTTTGGCCCAAACTCCTGACGCTTTATCTTTATTCAGTACTTTTTGGAACAGACCGGTTTCGTTGTTACAATTGAGTCGCGGATATTTGGTATGACAGCACCAGAAATTTCGTCCTGTCTTCAGACCGTAAAGTGTATCATTGAAAACGGCCAGTCCATGCGGAAAATTTAAGCAACACTGTTACATCCTTTTTGAAAATTGTCGACAGTAGATGAACCACGAACAACTCTGAAAATTCGAGGGATAAAAGTGGGGATATTAGCATTCGATCACGGGCGGAAAATTTAAGCAACACTGTTACAATCCTTTTTGAAATTGTCGAAAGTAGATGAACCACGAACAACTCTGAAAATTCGAGGGATAAAAGTGGGGATATTAGCATTCGATCACGGGTGGCTGGTTCCAGGCTGAACTCCTATAATTTTGACCCCAGCTTGAATCAGCAGTCAACTTTTACAGAGTTATTAAACTCACATGGCAACTGAAACGAACATAACCTAAGGAATGGAGATGTTCTACAGTTTCATTAACCTCCGACCAAACTGTTTCCCAGTAACTTTATATTAGTTCAGCAGTGTTTCATGTCACCGTTTTCGGTGAACTGAAGGACCTCCATTTAAGAAAGGAAACTACTCACAAGGTTGCTGAAAGCTATTCGACAGTCCACGACCGGTTTCGCCTCTCTTGTGGCTCATGAGGTAGGCGCAGTCCTGGAGTTTCCGTCAACCGTATGTTCTACTTGAACCCAAATTGGACTGTTTTTGAGAAATGCACTCATTTGCAAGCCAATTTGGTTTTCACGAGAGACTCAACCGAATCTCTCCTTTATGGTATTCTACAACTGAGTGTGCTGCACACAGGCCACTTCATTATCCAGTTGGCACGATACTCGAGAACAGGGGACTGCGCCTACCTGATGAGCCCCAAGAAGGGCTAAACCGGTCGTGGGCTGTCGAAGAGTTTCCAGCAACCTTGTGAGTAGTTTCCTTTGTGAAAATATAATGCGGTATCTCGAATATCGTGCCAAATGAAACATGAGGCGGCCTGTGTGCAGCACATACAGTTGTAGAATATCATAAACGAGAGATTCGATTGAGTCCCTCGTGAAAACCAAATTGACTTTCAAATGAGTGTATTTCTGGAAGACTTCCATTTTACTTTTAAAGGACAGAGATATCTTATTTCCCATGATATGTTATGATAGCTATGTTATTATAGCTAGCTAGCCAATCTGTTTATTTCCCTTGTTCGAAACATGACTCTGATGTGTGACGAAGTGAAGGCGTTCACGATGGTATCACTCAAGCACAACTTCCTACCAGTGAAAAGAAGAAGGCATTCGCTGCGGAGTCATTTATTAGAGAAACACCAACTGCCCAGTTACAGACTATTGAACCGGGAAGCAAAACTCCCATTTGCATTTAAAAAAACTGGACATCCATCTTGAACTTTCCTGGATATTCACTGACTCCAATCATTCATTGCTCAAATCCAAGCAAATGTTACAAAGCGATTTCACAAGTTCCGTAACAGATCTCCCCTTTTCAAGAGACGCAAAGCAAAATTCCAAGAACAACACATACTACTCGCATGCCTTCCCATCAGTAATATCACCTGTTTCACCAGTATTCTAGGCGGTGTGTGTGTGTGTGACGAGGGCCTCCCAAAATAGTTGCCCTAACTTTAACCATGATGTCGTTGTTGTTGAAGACAAAGATGGTCTTTGTAAGACGTTTATTTTTTTCTCGCATGTGGTTAGACATTACCCTACCAACTTCAGGGTTAAGGTATCACTAGTATTTCTTCGTGAGGTCACGAAAAGACCACATACTGCGACTGTTCCCCCGTTCCATTTAAGTGGGCTTTTGCTCGGGAGACACTGATTTACTCTTCTTCTTCTTCTTCTCAGAAGATAGATTTCTGTCTCTCACTTGATAACTATTCCCAACATCCCTTAGTGCCTGATACAACAGTGTCGTTTGAGTAATTCAGATCTCACCATTCCCGATAAAACGCGTACCAGTCGCTTGAACATCAATCCTCTGTTGATCGCCTAACTTTCCTCTAGACTCATTCAAACTTAAAAAAACAGCATGAAACGAAAAACGCGTGATTTACTGCCGTTTGATGCGCGTCCCTCCCGTAAACCGCATTCACGTGTCCTAACCGGTCTGTCTCAAGGCCAGGCGTGCGCCCAACGTGCCTAAAACATCCGATCATCATCGCCTTACGCACTCGTCCCCACACCTCTACTGCGCAACCATGATTCCGGCATACTGGAGCAGTGGAGCGGCAACCGACAAAACAACCGATCAATAGGCAGTGGCTGGAAAGCGGGTTGCCGCCTAACTACAGCATGCCATGCCATGCCATACCACGCATACACACACACACACACACGTGAATCTTGACGGTAGGGTTCGATCAACGACAACCACTTGGTCACCCTAACCTAGCCTGCCTGACTAACTGCTGTAGCTAGGCCAATCTTGGCATAATTGTTTGCGCGCGCGCTCGCGGAATTCCACTTATTGGACGTGAGCAACTACCAGGCACGGCGGTCTCGGAGGGTACGGTCGTGTTGCTCTGCAGCAGTAAACAACACACGCCGGCTCCTATCAGCACTAGGTACTACTCCAATCTATGATTTTCACGTGCGATGTCTTTTATACGCACATCTACACTAGACCTGACTGATGTTTGAATTTGCATACACACATGAGCACGCACAACAGCGCTTGCCCAGAGTGCTCGTCCGCAAGTCATCGGCCTTTCTGAAAGTGGTCTCCACATACACAACTATCTTAGCACTAGCTCATCCACACAGACGGACAGAAGGTTCAAACGGCGTTCAAGAGGGATCATCAAATGAACCGAACCAGAAGAACTAGACCCTAGGCTGGACCCAAACACATGTAGGTTTCCCCATCGGCCCAAAACTTGTTCAACCACTCTAACACACTAAAATCCCTCGGCCGACACCCAACAGAGATTTAGCTCTCCGTCCGCCTTAAATCTCGATCAAACTCGGAACCTAGTCACTTGGCCTGACGAAGCTTTTGTGTCAAAAGCGAAACGTTGCCCAGCAATAAATCTACCGACTGTCACCAAACTTTTTTGGAAACGATGGTTTCCACTTTCTTCCTCGCGGTCTTGTGGTGCTCGTGTTCGATCAATGATCCACAAACTAGGTCACTGATGATGTCATCGGTCGATCGATACCCATAAGGTCCGCGAGCTACGGTGCCAAAGTGTGGGAGACGGCTAGTTTACTGGTAGCTGTCCATGAGCGATGTTCAAGGCTGGCCGTCCCTTGCTGTTTCGGGTCTATTTCAACCCGAGTGGAAGAAATTTCGCCATTCCCATCTCAGTTTGCGTTGCAGCTGAGTATCGAATTTCCATCTCAAATGAAAGATTATCTAGTGTGTTTATGTTTGAGTACAGCTCACTCTGCCCTACATTCAAACTACCAATACTTCACCNATACCTCACCCAAATTGGAAGAATTTTAATTAGTCATTTGGGGTTTATCTGCTCGTTGAGCACCACTCAGGGGAGAAAAAGATAGGCATCTGAAAGCTGTGGTCACTTAAGTCCAAATTTAAACCAGGGTGGACCAGAAAATTAGTTATTTAGATCAGGAAACAGTTTGCTCCTTGTCTACGTCCTAAAGACACAACCATCACAGAAAAATAAGTTGGACTGCTTCTATACACCCTCGAAACTGTCACAACTGGCTCATTTTACTGCTGTGTACATCTCTTCACGGATCTATACTCCTCTGAACACATTTGAATCCATCTTGTTTAACCACTTTCAGAGTACCCTTCTGAGTTCGACGTAGCACCCCTGTTAGTCGGCAGGAATGGTACATTGGGCAATACACGCACCAACTGTATGTCCCTCGGTCGTGAAACTTCAATTTTTCCGGCTCTGGTGTCAAGGCTATCCTATCCAGTGTACACAGAGACTCAGATAACTGTCGCATGGTACCGCTTTACTTCAAATTTACCGCTTTACCGAAATTCTACTTGCCATCAGGGGTTCCGATCAAATCTACCAATCCACAGTCATCTTTCTTCAGCTCATCCCGACCGGTTATTAACTTACCAAATTTTAGTTGATATGATGAGTGATTCACAAGTTCTCGTACCCACTCAGTCGCTCCACTAAGACGATCCCGATTCTCCACTTCTCTTAGCATTTGTTGCACTGTAAATGTGGTTTACCATTCAAAGTGATCTTCACGATACACAGGGTATAAAGGGATTCACTTTTCTTAGAACTAGACAAACTGACTACCAGGTCGTTTTTGATTGATGTAGAAACCGCCTCTTGAGTTTGAAAAATTACGTTTCTTTGCAACAAGCAGTGCTATTTTTAAATGTGACATTTCAAGATTTATTTGCCCCAATGAGGTGTTGCCTTTCCTTCATAGATACCCATGTGTGCCAAGTTGTGGCTAGTTTTAATCTCAAATGGATAGTAAGTGCAAAATATGAATACGTCATTTGACGATGGCATTTATTTCCTTGATTGTATATTGTGAGGCCAAGGTAGGTGGCCATGGGTGCGCTCACCGAATTAGTGCGGTGATATCACCGGTGCTCGGCTCTGAATCAGTGAGGCCGAGAAAAATAGCTGAGATCATCCTGCCTATTGATTGGCAAGATAAAATGGGGTTGTCACGACCGATCGTACTCTTCGGCATCATTACAGACCGTCAACTGCACTCATGTGATTATCCTACACAGAACGTTGACAAGTGGTTTCAAAGGGATCATACGCGCAAGGAGATGTTGATCCCTAACTTACCGTCGACTTTGAGCTGGCTGGTTCGCACACACCTCTGTTCTCCTTCAAGTCGAAAGCGACTCAATGGAAGAAGAAGGATTCTTACTGCAGAGTTTGCACTGCCTCATCTCGCACTGCTTTTGAAAAGATGTCTGTTGATAGATCATGTAATTCCACTGCTACTTGACAAACTTTCCGTATCGATTGTTGTATCGATGCTTGGAGTAAGTTCACTGACCCTTAGTAACACTCTTGTGAGGGGAAGAAGACAATCTGAATCTGGCCTGATCTGACTGGCCTATATTGCATATAAGTTGGGCTGACAGCTTGTGACATGGACACGGTCAGTGCTGCCTTGTGAGTGAATGTCACTCAACCAAACAAACAATGGATCAATAGCGGAAAGCACACCAGAGGTTAATCAATAAAATGTGAACATCTGATCGACAGGATTGTTGTGCTGGCACGAGTAGTCTTGACTGTCGCCGCAGTCGTAGAATTCGGTCGCGATCGTTTTCAAATCGCGTGTCCACAACAAATCAAAAATCCGGAATTCGCTGCATTTAACGTCCACACCAAAGTTTGCAAGCACAGGACTCGAGCTTCGCTCATCAACAGTGCATATCCATACTGGGATTTGAGCTTTGCACATCTGACATGCGAGGCGGGCGTGTTACCACTACTCCATTAGCGTACACTGGAGGCACCTGAATTTTCACCTCAAAACAGGCGTGTTCACCTTGAGTGATGTGAGTGGTAGGCCCCATGGCTCGAACGACAACCCAGAAATATACCTTAAATTTGTAGATCGCCTGGCCCGCCTGTCAGGACTTCCCAGCCAGGTAGCGCCACGGACGCTTGAAACTTGCTGGACCACTTTGGATTAGTTGTGGGTGCTTAATTCCAAAAAAACGCCAGCCACTTTGTGTACCTGACACTTTGAAATGTTCAGAATATTAAAGCGCATTATTCGAACTCGTTACTACCAAACCCAGCATGTCCATTTAGGGTGGACTGGTTTCTAGGCCGGTCCATACACCGAAACAATGATCAAAGCCGCATATTTTCCGAATGTCATCCAGCACGAGTTGCTTAAAACGGAAAAGGTCGACCAACTGAAGTTGCAAATCATCGATGTTTGGTCCCTGGTTTCCATCAGAGGGCATGGCTTTCCAAGTTAACGGTTCACAATGAATATAGCTAAAAAGCAATACATAAGTGATCTGGCCTGTTGTGAGTGTACTTAGCCGCATAAGCGGTATGATTCATTCTGATCTAGAGAGATTGCTTGTGTTTTGCCCAGGTGTGAGATATCCGACAAATTACCACATTTTCTATCTGGCGCACATTACAGAAGAGCTGAAACAAAACGGCCAAAGAAATAAACACAAAAACCGGCGACTACAACCAGGAAATGAGAATGGAGAACCACAGAAAACCCTCGTAATGAGGGCTATGTAGCTCCCACACATGTACTGACATCTTGAAAACAAGGATGTTGAATAGATATCAGCGTAGCCCACTGGGGTTGGCCAGTGTGAGGCCCACTAAATTTAGCCCACGAGCGTTTTACAGAGGATTTCTCCCCACCCCCTATGAAAATGACAACTTACCTGGCTAAAAGACGACCCAGTTCCAGCTGTTTCATTTTTCATGGCGATGTGAGAAGAGTTGGTAGACTTCATTTGGGTTTTTGAGCTCTCAGAGGAGCCACTATTTGCTGAAAAACCGAGAATTACTGTCCAGCTGTTTCGCATCGACAGTGCGCATCTCATGAAACTCGAACCCGCGACCTTCTGACCACCTGACCGTTTGGCCACGAGTGGCTGATCAGCAATGTGATTGGCTCTCACTTAGACAAGACATAGTGCACCTCGTCCCTTATTCATAGAAAACACATCAACTGGCCACGTTTTAATTGTCAACCTTGAAATACTATCCTTTGGGAAAGAGTAGAACAATGTTTCAATCGTGTTTCTGGTAAGGACAGAAGCAAAAACTCTGTCCAGCTCTTGTTGTCTTCCGAACTTACAGCCCCTTTCTAAATTTGATTGAAGAGTTGGATTTGTTCATCGTTCCCAGGAGTATGTATGGCTTCATCACCCCATTTGGTGACGCTTTTTCCTCATTTCAGACTGAAGAAACATAGCGACCGTCTACACCAGACCGCTCAACAATACGGAGAGCGAGTGATCAACGCTACCGAAAGGATAACTGAAGCGGAGAGAGCCATAAAGGAATCAAAGAACATGGTTCTGAGCAACAAACAAAAGTTGGTTTTCCCATAACTTCCTGTTCACTATTGAAAACGATCTGTAAAGACGTCTACGGTCTTTTTCCCCATCGTACCTTTGCTCTGCATTATCCGTTCCGAGTTGTACGGAACGATAACTTGGCGGTTTGTTACCTCACAGCCCCAAAAGCTGCAGACTCTTGCGTTCTTAGAGGTATTGCTCCTCTGAAGATTCAGTACGTTAACATAACTAGAATCGAAATTTTTCAGCCTAAGTGAATCAAAACATGTTACTTCTTCATCAAGCTACGAAGTTCGTGTCGCTAGACAGTATTCGGTACCTGATAAGCTCTTAACATCAGATTTCCTCATTTAACTAATGGTTTATAATCGTGAAGCGCGTTCATCTGTTAAGTGGACCATTTTGTTGCCTAACTTCCGATTAGTGGCCACGATCTCTCCTAATTTTGGAGCGTCAGGTGCGGGAAGCTCATTCAATGAATCAATTAACTTCTAGGTGATTTGTCCCACTGTTGTTTTCACCTTGGTTTGGACAGTTGGCAATCTCTCAACGTGGACATATGTATTTCAAAAGTGAACTACTTTCGTCTATTCAGCGACCACATTTACATATCGGATGAACCTCCAATAAACCTCATTTTGTCTAGATGTCGGTGGTTGTGGAATTTGTAAAATTGAAGTTCACCGCACTTTCGTTCGATTGGTAATTCTCGTGTCCTGGCACAATTCTTCTCGTGAGTCAAAATCAAAAGGGAGAAGTACTGAACTTGAGTTTCGCTCTCATTAGAGCTCATCAATAGTGCATGTCCTTGGCGTTGTTGGGGATTCAACTCCGGTCACGAAGTGGGCACGATACTGGTACTCCAGTGGCGTGAGATGGTTGCGCCTGGATGTTCATGCCTGAACAAATGAACGTGCTCAAGCTTGACCGATGTGCTTGATCTACCCGACACCTCAAACAACAATCCAAGCGCGTTCTAGGATAGGCTCTACTGATCAGCTCTGCTAAGAGTCAAAGTCGAGTTCATTGCTTCATCTCCTTTGGTGTGGACAGAAGAAGAATTTCAGAGGACAGTCATGTGAACATTTCTTTGTCTTTGCTGCGTGCCAACCCACAGAACAATTGCAGCGAGGCCAGAAATAGGGTCTTCCAAGCAGGCATCCTGACAGAATGCAACCCTCCTATCGGTGCAGGTTATCCTTGAGGTCCTGGACAAGGAAGTGCTCACTTCTTATTATTTCAATAAATTAGATTTGATCACTGTAGTTCTTGTGGTGTAATATTTGTTACATAAGCTTAAAGTTGTTTCCTTCAGTGATGTATGCGGATGTTTCATCATGGAGATTGTTATATCTGCTGATTCGTCAATCTGTGGTATCTGCTGCTGACCCGCTCCAGTGCCTAACGCTGGAGAAAAAAGACTCACAGAAGGGAACA